TCTCCAGCCTCTCCGTCCTCTCCGCCCCCCTCCCCGTTCCCCTCCCCGTCCCCCTCCTCTACTTCTTCCTCTTCTCCACCACGGGCCGCCGTATCGTCGTTGCCAACCACTCGCGGTCAAACCCGCGCAAATGCCGCACCCACATGTTGGCCGACAACCTCGACTGGTCGCCGATCAGCGCCGCTGCCGCCTCATCCTTCTCCTTGATGGCCCGCGCCGCCGCCTCGAACTCGGCCCGGATGGCGGCTTGAAAATCGGCTGTGTCTCCCCCGCTCCCGCTTGCGGCCGTGTTGGCCGGCGTCGTCACCTCAAACAACCGCTGCAATACACCGGCCTGCCCGAACCGCCGGCAATACACCCCATGCACCCATACCTCGCCTAACCCGCCTACCGGCTGGGCCCCGGGCTTGCCGCCGCGTTTCCGCGGGTTGGTCCAACGCGTGCGGTCAAACATGCTCCGACCGGCAATGCTTCTGGATATGCTTCCTCCCACGCTGTATAAAACCCGCACTCGATACACTTCTTGCCATCGCTCCACACGGGTAATCCGTCGATCGCCGGGACCACCTCGTCGGGGAATCGGATATTGTTCGTATCGGCGGCCAACGAACCGTCGTCCCGTAACGCCAACGCCTCGGCCACGATCCGCTGGCGAACCCTGGGCGGCCAAATGCCGGTGCCGCGAATTGACATGCGACGCAACCGACCGCGCCGTCACCACGCTTCCATGCTCGTGGCAAACTGCCGTGCGGGATGCGGGCAATGGCGTGAATATCTCGCTGAACGTTGCCATGGTTTGTCGCTGCTTTTCTCTTGTACCGCTCTCTGCTCTCTTCTTTTCTACCTTGCTATCGACACGAACTCTTCGCTTGCTCCTCGACATGGGTCGTTTGACTACAGATGAATGGTATAATTAGCTGGATCCGCCGTATTCTGGGCATCACATACATAATTACATACCACTCTGACTATTTTGTTTGGGAAATCCTCTGCGAACACAACTCCCAACTGCTTCAACGGACGCGACCCCCTGATCTTGCGGCGTCCTTCTCCTTGATGGCCGGCGCCGCTGCCTTGAACTCGGCCTGGATGGCCTTCTTAAAGCTCTCTATCTCGCCGTCGCTCTCGCGCTCGCCGTCGCCGGCCGGCGGCGGCACCACATGCCTTGAAAATGCTTTTGAAGCTCGAACCCAGATCGCTAGTTGACGCACCATTTGTGATCCAAAGACACCGGCTACGAAGAGCGGCTGAGTAAGCCAAGAGACAGCATTCTCATCGTCATGGTACCGCGGGAGGTCCTCTCCTTGGTCCATGAAATAGTCGTCGACCTCCTCGCGGAGCTCTTCCTTGTAGGCGGCAACTCCACAGGTCCAAAATCCGACGACGCCGTCATAGAGAAAATTTCGGTCATAGCTGCATGCGCCATCCCGGCGCTCTATCCACGGGCCCCCGCCGCCTTGGTCTACCCACCTTGAGCAGAAGTCCTTCGGCAGGTGGCACGCATAGCATCCCCCTGCAGGTTCGTAATCCCTCCCGTACAGCAGAGGTCTCCCATGTCCTCGCGGACCTTTTGTGCGCCTCGGCAGTGGCACTGCGGGAGCGCATGGCGGATCTGGCCCTCACCAAGACCACGCCCAGCACAGAAGGAACACCTTCCACGTAGCCAAGCCAGTGCCCCTCTCTGGTATTTACCGCACCTGGGGTCGCTGCAGAGTGACCCTGACTGAGCGCCAGCTTGTTGTCGTGACTGAGGCCGAGATTGTTGCTGTCCGCCTTGCTGATTGTTGCCCTTCTTGGCGGTTTTGATTCGACGTGGCCGACATGTTGAACATGGCCTGTTCGTTAGCCTTAGTCGTGACGAGGTTGAGCAGCTTCTCGTAATCCAACTGTCCAGTCTGCAGTTGGAAGCGAAGCATGTCAACCCAGTTGGCGTTCGTATGTCTTCAGACCCAACAGGAGTTGCGCCTGTAGGAACCTGCCTGGAAGGTTGATGCCCACGTCCTTGAGCTTCGCAATCAGGTAATGGAAGCGCGAGACGAAAGCGCGCAAGGTGTCGTAGTTGCTGGCGTTGATCTGGGAGAGTTCCCACACCATACCACACCAACCTTCGTCGGACATGCTTGTCAAGGCTTTGCAAGTCGCAAGGTAAAGCTTGTATGGGTCGAAGTCATCCTCGTCATACACGTAGCCGTTGCTCTTGGTTATGTCCCTGGCCGGGGCGAGTCCCAGCGCTGCCGTCAGATCAATCAACTAACTTTAGACTTCTTCGGATCTGAATTTGATTGAAGTATTTCGCCGTTGTATCTGCTTTGATTCAATTGATTGAGTTGGTCTGGCCAATTCTGATCCCTGGGCTGCCCGATGAAGCTATTCCTGACGTTGCGCCGCCCTAAATCTGACTCCTCCGAGCTCGATCCAACCATTCCGTGTCCAATTCTTCATCAACTGGAGCCTTTCAATCATAATCTCCTTCAGGGAATGCCGTTGCGATGTTATCGTTAGTTTCGCCGTACTGAACGCCCTCTCACAGTCATCTGCCATCGCGGGTATAGCTACATGGATGTCCAATGCAAACCTGCTGACCCGTGGAAACGCCTTCTGGTGATCAACCCACCATTGAATAGGGTCAGAAACTTCTTGAGGCTCGAGTCTGTAGTATCTATCAAGCTCATTGCCCGCATGTGTGGGCCTAGGATGTTTGCTCTTTATCCACTGAGTACTATGAATCTGCTTGGATCCTTCTTCTCTTTGCAGACATCATCGGCGACGGCGATGGTGTAGGAGTCTCCTTAAGACTGTCTTCAACCTCAACGGTAGAATACCACTCCTCTAGGTACTCCTTCAGCTGCCGTTTTGCATCCATCAGCCAAGTTAGTTGCGTTGGTGAAGTCCAGTTCGCCTCAAGGAAGCCTTATGCCGAGGCCAGGGCGTAGAATGATGGATGCTGCGTAAAGAGGGGAATCTCCAAGCAACGTATAATACTCGTTAAGCTTCACCCAAGCGTTGTTGATGCAGGCCCTCACGTACGTCCTCTCGTCTGCTGCTAGGCTTGAGATACGGCTAACTGACCGCGCCATGTAAGCCGGGCGAGCATGATCAGGCAGCGCAGCTTCATTGAACTGAGCAGTAGCGGAAGCGGCAGCTGCAGGATGCCGATGACTCGGCTGCTGCTGCTGCCGTAAGGGTGTTGCGACCTCGAAGCCCTGAAGATGCTGAGGAAGTCTCGACTGCCGTGCAGGGCGATCTCTTGCTGGCGTGGTTGGTGGCGACGGCCGAGGGATTGCATCTGGGCCAGAGCCAGGGGAAAGAGGCTCGCTGGGCTTCTGAGAAGCCAATTCTGCAGCTAATTCCGTAGCAGGGTCGTCATAGAGGGCTTTCCACTCTTCGAGGTGTTCCAGGACTCAAATTCCATGCCAGTCATGAGCTCCCATAAGTGCCCATGGATGCCGCCATGGGCATGTCCCTGTGTTCTCATCGTGAGGCTGTAGATCGGCTCCAGCACGTGTTGAATATCGTTGAGAAGTCTCCAATCGTCAGTTGTCAGATGGTCCTGCCGAGGTAGCTGTGTCGAGGCACTGCCAAGGGCCAAGGTCGAGGCTCACCAGGTAAGCCCAAATCTCTGCTTGCTTCTCCCAGGCTCGCTGAATCATCAAATAGGTTGAATTCCACCGTGTCGCGTTGTTCTGCCGCAGCTCGAGCTCCCTGGAGGATGCCTCTGAGAAGATGAAGTCCTCAGACTCATCCCACTCTTGAATGACGTTCCGGAAAGCCTCACCACGCTGTGGCGAGGCTCTGATGAACTTGGCAATGTTGCGAAGCTTTCCAATTGGTCCTTTGCGCCGCCAATGCTCGAGGCCCTCCTGGTACTGGCCAAGAGTATCACAAAAGTGTCAGATTGAATCTCGAAAGCATCGCTCTCATCGCCGAAAAGGAAGGCCTTCGCAACTAGGTTTAAGATGTGACCGAAGCATCGGATCCGTCGCGCCTTAACACCTTCGTCGTCCATCTGGAGCGAAGGGCCGTGCGACTGACGAAAGAAGCGACGCCGGCAATTTTATAACTAACTAGTTAGAACTAGTTAGATCGTTAACTAATAAGATTGGTATTACTCTCTTATCCTCTAGATGCCCTAATTAAGATATCTCCCTCTTCCGCTTCCTCTACCATATATATAAAAGATAGTAACTAGAGATAACTAACTAGAGTAAACGCAGGTACTATATAAAGGTTGCCGGTGTACTACCTTCGCGAGGGCGAGGGAGATCTACTCGAAAGTGATCCGCAGTGCGATCGCGTATGGAGCCTCCACCTTCCACACCCCTACAGAGGTAGGCCCCCCCCACGCGGGGCCGCAAAGGAACTCGCAAAGATCCAATCGGAGTGCCTCAGGGTGGTCGCTGGGGCCTACAAGGCTACCCCAATACGGAGCTTGAGCTTGGAGACAGAAACCTATTGCCCACCCATCGACCTGTACCTCAACAAGAGGCTCCTTGCCTTTGAGGATCGGGTTAGGATATCAGAGGAGGCGAGGCTAATCCGCCAGACCCCTGCTACAATCGCTGTGATCCTGCGGCGGAGGCGCAGAAGGGGGAGAGGAAGACCTCGGTGGGAGATAGCCGATATAGCAACGGCACCAGCGGAAAAGGGCTCAGGCGAATGGAAGAAGAGGTGGGCATAGGAGTGGGCCTCCCCTCGAGTCGAGGTCGGAAAAGGAGGAGCTAGAGCTAGGGTGGACCGGCCCAGTACCAAACCACAAGAAACAGCTCGAGAGGTGGATGGAGGAGGCAATGAGAAGGGAGTGGATTGGAAAATGGGAGAGTGAGGTAGCTAGGGTGGTCGCTAGGAACCCGGGGCGGGCCCTCGAACCGGCCGATGCGACCGCGCGGTTCGACGCCTCTATTATGAACCGACACCGGTCGAGGGACCCAGCCTGGGAGCGATCGAAGGCGAGGAGTACCCTCCTAGTGCAAGCGAGGACCGGGAAGATTGGGCTTCGAGGGTTCCTCTTTACTAGGAGGGTCCCCGAGGTGGTAACGCCGGTATGCCGCTGCGGTATGGCGCGCGAGACATTTGAACACCTCGTACTCGAATGCAACGGAGCCGCAGATAAACCTCAACCCTGGCCAGACGACGGAGCAGAGCTACTGGAGTGACTAGATGACGTGGAGAAGGCTGCCATAGTGGTGGGGTGGGTACTTGGGCTGGGGAGGCTGAACGAGTTCCGGCTGGCGGAGGAGCTGGAAAATGAGGAGAACAACGAAGAGGCCGGCGGCGGGGCCGAAGCCGAGTAGCAGAAGGGCACCGATGGAACAGAGGTTACAACTCATTTTATCTATTTCGTTACTTTGACCTCGGAAGGTGGGTGAGCCCTTTCGAGGAGATGGATCCACGGGGTAATTAGCGGCGAGGCCGCAGCGGAGGTGCGGAGGTTTTCGTCCAGCTTAGGCATGGTTTCTCCTACCGAGTTAATCGCTGAGGGACCGCATGTACTTAGTACCTAGCGTGATGAGAGAAATAATAAAATAATAATATATAGAGGTTGCCCAGTGGCATGGGCCTCCTTCACGCGCCCTGAAGCTCACCTAGCAACATCTCCGCCACTCGTATCGCCTGTATACAAGGAGTCCTCCCTAGTTCTGTTGGCTCACCAAGCCACCGCATATAGTCGTCAATATCGCGGAACCTTCGCGGGAAGTGCTTCTTGATAAGCCCTCTCGGCCCGGCTCGAAAGAAGGCACCATAGCACAGCGGCATAATCATGTCCCGGAATCGACATGTGTCCGCACTATCTCCGTCCTCGGCCCGTGCCCCTGGGTCCGCCCTGCTACATATCGTCTGGGGCAGATAGCAGATAAAGCACGCCGTAAATTTGGCCATCCACGGCTTCCCCTCGTCAGCACAGGTACGTATGGTCTTCGCCTTTGCCCCGATCCAGAGCCGCCTCCGACTGCACGCCGCTGCGCCGTGATCAAACGGCTTACCACCCTCCACCCGGCAGAGGAGGCAGCAGCCACGCATGGCTTCGAGGCTGGCCTCGAAGCGTCGCAGCACCTCATCATCCAGCCTGGCTCGATGAAGCACCTCCCCCGGACCTGTGTATTCCATGTCGCCCGCGCGGCCGATGTCCACCTTGGCCAGATCGGAGGGGCCCTGGGCTTCCCGCACCGCGCTTGTTGAGGTGGCTTCGGGTGTAAGTGGGAGTCCGGGAGGCCGGGGCTCCGTGTGGGGCTCGGGGCATACCCCACACAGCTCCTCGTTCTCCATGCACCATCTCCAGTCGACCGGCCGGTCCAGGAACTGGCTCATCACGGCCCGCAAGCAGTGCTGCTGAGCGAGATAGAGCTGCATCGACTCCTCGTCCGGGTCGGCAGGAGGATGCGGCTGCCACGCCGCGCTCAACAAGACGACAGACTGGGCAGGCCCTCCGTCACGGCCGGCCCGGCCCGACTCCTGCGAGAAATCCGTCATGCACCGCGGGGCCCCGGCATGCACAACCCACCGCACGTTGGGGTGGTCAAACCCGACTCCGAGTGCGGACGTTGCCACGATGACCGGCGAGCCAGCGGGACCCAGCCATCGATCGATGGCCGCCTCCTTCTCCTCGCCGCTCGTGGTCTCGCGATCCCCGGTATACATGGGACAGTCGAGCGTCTCTGCCAGCTCGCCCACGAGGTCCAGCGTGGGGCAGCACACAATCATCCTCGCCGGCTGGTCGTCGCCGCACGCCGCCCCTGCCACCCCCTCTCCTTTCCCGCCCCGGCTCTCGCCCGCCAGGAGGGTCCGCACCAGTTCGGCGGCCCTATCGCACAGCCCACCCGGGCCTCTGTACCGGATGATGCTGTACCGGAGGTTGGCGCGATTCGTCGACTCCCGTACCATGCGCGGCCGCACCAGGAGGTTGCGCCGCAGGAAGGCCTCCTCGAAAGCCGGCGGTAGGGTGGCAGTGAGCCACACGGTCTGTGTCGGAATCTGGCGCACGTAGGAGCCCAGCTGCGTCATGCTCTTGCGGAAGGTGGCTGTGACGGTGAGATGGCATTCGTCGACCACGATTCGGTCCAGCCGCTGCTGGCCGTCAAGTCGGTGGGCGTAGTCGAGGAAGCCGCTCGTGCATGCGGCCTCGGCCGACACGACGACTAGTGGTGCCGCTTTCAACTCGCCCGGAGCCCACTCCATTGCCTTGATACCGAACTTGCTGAACCTCGCCATCATGTTGGTCCGGAGCGCCAACGTCGGGAGGATCAGTATCGTCGTCTTCGCTCCCGCAAGTACGGCGGCGACCATGACGATCAGGGTCTTGCCCGAGCCTGTGGCTAGCACGGCCACAACCTGTTCCGCCGCGTGGGTTCTCATGGCCGCTAGCATGGCCTCGCGCTGGCCCGGCCGCCGCAGTTGCAGATCCGGATCGTTGTAAAGCTTGCGGGGCCGCGGCTACGAGGTCCTTCTCCGCTACCAGCGGCCTCGTTCAGAACCGTGCCTTCTTGCAGGCGCCCATGGCGCCCATTTTGCCCATCTCGACGGCCGAGCCTGGTCGTTTGTGGCCGCCGCCGCCGCCGCCACCACCGGCAACCATCTCGCGCGCCAGAACCTCGTCTACCCGGAACAGGGTACGCCAGCTCAGCGATGCTCGGTGTGCTCGATGCATGATTGTGTTCATGGCTAGGGTAGTAGAGCCGGCGTAGGCGTGGTTGAACGTGCGGAAGGAGTGGTTGCTGCTCTCGGCCAGATCCACCAGCAGGTCTTCCTCCTCGATGGCCTCCTCCGGCTCGTCGAGCTCCTCCAGGTCAAAGTTGGCCCGCTCTCGTCCGGTGAACTTCTCCTTCGTGATGGATGCCGCGACCTGCCTCCACCACGCTACCTTGAACTCCGGCACCTCGGCACGCGCGCACGCCCGGCTTAGGCACCTCGACACCATCTCATCCCGCCAAACCGTCCCGTCGATTTTCGAGAACAGGTAGGGCGATAGGAGAGCTCCGGGCTCTGCCTGCCGAAGGAAACAGAGGCGCAGCGGCTGCACCACGGCCAGGAACGTGAGCACGAGCTCCGAGATGGCCGCCGGGACGAACCGTATGTTATCCCCGTCCTTCCCCGTCTGCTCCACGGTCTTTCGGTAGCGGACGTGAATCATCAGCTCCCTCTCCCACAGCAGCATGCTGCGCCGCCGGCTCGCGCTGTTGGTGGCCGTGATGGAGAGGAACTCGGACGCTCGCAGCGGCGGCATCGGGGAGACAAACAGGAGCGCGCTGATCGACTGGAGAAACTCCTGGACTTCTGCCTCGTACGCTGCCATGGCCCGGCTGCATAGGGTCATCGCCGCCCCAGGCCCGGATGGCGCCGGCTGTCTGCCGTCTCGTTGGCCGCTCCGTCGCTCTCCCGTGAAGAGGAAGAGCTGCCGAAGGTCCGCCCTACCCTCGATCTGCCGTAGGAGAGCATCCCGCGTGCCGCGCAGCACGTCGGCGTTCCTCTCGTCCGTGAGCCAGGAGCCGCCATAGTCCTCCGCATCCAGGTCGTCCACCAGCCGCCACGGCTCGATGGCACCTATGCTCTCCGCTCCGAGCAGCAGCCCGTCGTACAGCAGGGCACGCGCGCGCCTGTATTCCGACACGATCAGCTTCGTCACATCCGCCATGTGCAGGCTGGTCCCCAGGTAGACGATCCGCTGGCCGCATAGCGACCAGAGCGCCTGACGTCGGCTGACGGCCGAGCTGGCGACCGTTGTGAGATATAGCCGCCACTGCAGGATGTGCCCGAACGTCGTCTCGCCCTTTTGGTGCATGAACTCTTCGCAGATCCGGGCCAGCGCGGCCGGGATCCGGTCCTCGTCATCCCGCTCTCGGAAGCACACCGACTCGAATAGGACCAGCTGCGCCGACCATATGAGGGCCGACAGGGTGCTGCTGTAGTTTCCCGGGTCGTGCCAGCACCGGAGCTTCCTGCGCCGCCTCGCCGCCTCGTCCAGTTCGTCGTCGCCGGTCCCGTTCCTGGCGGCTCGATCCTTCCACCCGCCCCTTCTCGCGCCGCTGCTGAATCGCTTGGTTCGGCTGAGCATGGCGCAGAAGCTGATCACTGGCGACCTGAAGTGGGCGCTGCCGACCGTCTGACATATCAGCGCGACGTAGAACTCTCGGATCGCCGCCTCAAGCCCTTCATCGTCCCCGTCCCCGTCCCCGTCCCCATTTCCTACCCCCTTCTCCTTCTCGTCCTGCCTACGAAGAGCCCTGTGGATCTCATCCATCGCGTCCCGCTGCCTCTGCGTAGGCTCGATGATATCCCGCGGCAGCGTCGGCGCCGGCGCCTCCGTGCCGCGCGTGAAATGCCCGTCCTCCCGGTATACTACCCGATAGTAGTATGTGAGCAGCTCCTTCATCCGTCGAAAGTACGCCACCAGCGTCGGCGCTCTCTTGAAGCACCGGAAGGCTATGTCTCTCCCTTTCTTGCCGGCGCCGGCCGCGAAGTCGCTTAGCGTCTGGGCACGCTGGTGTGTCATTCTGCGCTGCATGGAGCCGTCGGCCACCAGGTCGTTCGCCTTCCATAACCAGGTATCCGCCGCCTCGAGAATGCGTCGGAGGTCCCTCTCGCAACGATCCCCACCATGATCGCTATCACCATCACCATCATCGTCGTCGTCGTCGTCGTCGTCGTCATCTGTGCTGCTGAGCTCGCCTCCCCTCCCGGACGGATGTTTCAGGAGTGGGTTCGTCGACTTGGGTGGCCGGAACGACGACTCGATCTCCGCGTCGGAAAGCCCTCGCAGGTGCGTTGGGAACCCTGTGTAGATCAGCCACCGCTCCCGATCCGCCCGGCCTTCGCCTGGGTCCTCGACGACCGCCGCCTTTGCGTCTAGGTCGCGATCTGCCTGTCGTATATCCTCCCTCAACCCGTCGAACATCCGTCTCTCCGGCGACGAGGGTGGCGGGTCGCCCAGTCCACCGACAACCTCGCCCGACGTATCCGAACCCTGCCCTTGCCCCATACCTCCCGGCTCGACCACGACGAAGTAGTCGACCAGCTGCCTCGCGGTGAAATACGTCTGCAGCGTGCATGACCTCCACAGGGGCCCCTCTCCCGTGTGTTGCGAGGCCGTCCTGCCGTGCCTGGGCATATGGTCATGCATCAGCGAGAGCCGCGTCGTGGCAAAGTCGCAGTTCTCGACGTCGCATGCGCAGAGGTAGCCTCCGTATGACGCCAGCCCCGCGATCTTCTCGCAGGGCCTCCGCCGTGACGGCCTCTGACGCTTCAGCTCGTCTCTCCCACGCAGCTCATACTTCGAGAGCACATCCAGCATGCGCTTCAGCCTGTCCCCCTTCAGCCTGTGCGGCTCCTTTCGTAGGTGGTTCTCCCATCGGCCCTGTTGTCCGTCGGGAACGAGGCATGTGCCGCAGGGCCGGCACACAACCACTCGATGCTCGGCGTTGTAGATGAGTTCGCCGACGGCCATGCTGCTGCCCCTCTCTTTTCTCTCAGCTGCAGCCGTAGGCGTCCAGGATGCGGATGATGTTCGTCCCTGATTTCGGGTGTATGATGAGGTGCTGTCGGCTAGTTTTGGTTGTCCATATGGATGTATTGATATATCCCGCCTGACCTCCTTCCTTTCCTTCACCCTCTTCATTTCATTTCATCTCATCTCATCTCATCTCGTCCGTTGCTTTTTTTTGGGGGGGGGTTCAATTACCCTTTCCCCTTTTTCCGGGACCCTGTCGCTCGCGCCCGCCCGCCAGCCAATGACCGGCGACTTTTACAAGCGAGCCTTTTGGAAGCGAACCATCCTGAACCCTGGGTTACGACACCGCTCATCTCGCTTAAACTACAGGGTTACCCATTTGGACGAAGCGTGTGGTGACCGCTGGGCAGAGACCCCTGACGATGTGGATCGTAACTACCAATGGCAGTGGGACGGCTATCCGTACCCACAGTTACGTAAGATATAGCTAGATCGTTAGTTAACTACCTTAGGTAGTTACTGGAAGTACCTGTTGCACAAAACGGGTGGCTGAAGATACGGTACGGCGGGTCAATGACAGGGGCTTATTGGGCCCACCAGACTGGGGCCCAATGCAGCGTTTCTCAGGGCACAGAGGATCTCCTTTCTTCCAGTTACATCAATCAGACTGTCAGACAATTGCATCACGAATTGAAGCCTCATATCAGTGACCTTGCTTGCACTACGTTGCGCGCCCTGTTCAGAAGTATCGCTACTCTGGCTGTTGGATTTCCAACAGTACCAGCTTACCTTGGTACTTCGAGAGAACCATCACAAATCAATTAACGAGATCCTTGTCGCTTTTGCATGCAAACGGCCACCACAATCTGGTGCCCACAACCAGACCGACGTGACCCTTGTCAACGGCGTCGCCATACGGCACCGCCGCGCGGCACCAGCACCGTGGCCCCCGGGCCGTGACGGAGCACCAGCCGGCTGACCTACCGACGTCGACCGCACCAGAGAGCCGGCTACGCCGCTCCGCCAGACCGTTCCGCATCTCGCCCGTATCCGGCGGGCCATTTCTCCACGCATCGGAAGTTGTCAGCCGTTGCGTCATACACGCCACTTACAACACCACCAACAATCGGACGACCCGATGCCCACGCCAGCCGTGGATAGGCAACTCCGAGCACGGCAGTTGTTACGTTTCGTCGGGACAGACCACCCGCACGTAACGCATGTCGACCGCAAGGATATCGACCACGCACGTTCGTTAGTCGGAGACACCTACACTACCATCGACGACGACGAACCGTGGCCGCCAGCCTAGTCAACCAGCCAACAGTCTTTCAACAGCTTCTACTCCTGGTTCAAGAAGTGGCGACCCGTGACGACTACATCGACACCTTCTATATCCAGTGTGGGAAGCAACAACCACCACCAGGCAGTAACGACCGACTGTCCATCGGAAAGAAATAACCAACCTGTGGAAACTGCTTCCAACGCCTCCGAGGAAATATCAACGCCCACGCTCTACACACACGCATCCTCCACCAGACCATCCTCCCCTACACCAACCACGTCAGACCTCCCATCAACGGGTAACACGCCAAAGACCAGCACCTACCGACGCTCGACCAGTACGGACAACAACGTCGACATGGCTGACAACGGGCGACGCCAACCAGTCCCAGACCCAGATGGCCCTCTTACAGCACAAGCCGCAGCCGCATTGATGGCTGCCGCTTTCCGTCAACATCGAGAGAACCAGAATGCCGACATGGGTAACCTTCTGGCAGCCGCAATCGACCATCAACAGCGTCAACAACCAGCCGCATCCACCGCGTTGCAGGCAGTCGACGTTGGCTATTTCGATCCATCCGCCAAAGACCCATCTGGCGCAGGTCTAATATCGGGCGGCAAAATCAACAAATATACCGACATCTTTCCATTTTGCGACAGGTTGGTCGACCTCGCCGCCACCCATGGCGACGACGCGGTACGCCGTATTTGGTCCCAATGCCTGCAAGGCCCTGCATTGGTTTGGCATTCCCACATCCTCACTGACGACGATCGGGAATTGTTGCGTACCGCAACCATCAACGCCATCTGCAACAAGTTGAAAAGCCGTTTCAAGATCGACTATTCAGTGGCACTGGATACCCTCAAGCAGTCCCGGTTTACGATGTCCGATGTCGCCAATGACAAGGATATCATGGCCTTTGTGCAGACAATGATGCGCAATGCAAAGGCGTGCGACATGAGCCGGCACGGCCAGTTGATCGCTGCGTTCGAGGCACTCGACGGAGACATTCAGAGTGAACTGGATAAGCCGACTTCCACCACCGAAATCGACAGTTTCTTACGTCAAATTCAAGAACGCGAAAGCGTCTTGCGGAAGCGCGCGCAACGATTTCGCCAACCGCAACAGCCGTATCGCCAACAGTACCCACCACGCGGCCAATATCAACAGGGTCAACAGTTCAACCGGTACCGCCAGCCATATCGGAATCAGGGGCAACAACAACAACAGTCACTCTGGAACCGTTATCAACAACAACGGTATCAACCACAAGGCCAAGATTCGCGGCCAAGGATTGCAACCACAAGGACAACAGTGGCAGTACAACCAGTACAATGTCGGAAACCAGCCCGCCAACAATCAACGGCAGTACGGCCAGCAACAACAGCAGGCGCAACAACCGGGAGCAGTCGTTCCTGAAAATCGACGTCTTCCCGCGCCACCGCAACGTAATCAATACCGGCCACCCACACCCGGCAGAGCCATCCCAGCGTTCCACGGCTCCGCCCAATACCAACAGCCGTCGGTTGAAGATGCGCCGGAGCAGGATGTCGCCGGTCCGGATGACTTCGGCCCCGCCGAATCTTACTACGGCAATGCCCCCTATCCCGACGACGAATATCCCGCCGCACCGGAATGGCTGGATGTCGACCACCGCGGCCCGGATACCGACACCACCGACACGCCTGACGATGTCGTGGCCCAATTCGTGTCGCTGTCCATCGCATCGAAATGCCGGCATTGCGCGAAGAGCTTTCCGTCAAACAACAAACTGATGGCACACATATACGCAGACCACCTCAAACGCCCTCGACCCGACAGGAAGGCGAGAGCTGACACTGCCGGCGCCATTCCGAGCGCCAGAGAAGTCGTCGATGCCCACTTGGCTGAGGCACACCCTGTCGCCGACGATCCGATGCATCTTTCGAAGATCGTCGAATCAAAAAACCACCCGCGCCCCCGGTCCCGGTAGGCGGAACGGAGGGTGCCAAGCAGCGTCCGCCTACGCATGTCAAGATGCTACCGGTAACTGTCATCCGGTCAAACGTCGATTCCACGCCGGACCGTGGTTCTGGATTCGGATTCAAGACATGGAGCTACCTCAAGATGAACATCGTCCCCGACATCAACATTCCCAATCAACAACATGATATCTGCGCAGATACAGGCTGTACCGCAACGTTGGTCGACAGGCAATGGTTGGCCGCCCCCATACAGTCATTCGTCACCGTGCCAGCCCCCTGATGGTCCGTGGCATCGGAAAAGGAGTACACAACACACTAGACTACGCCATCATCGACCTCAATTTCTACGGTACATTACCATCCGGCTCAACCGCCATCGCGAGCTTTACACGCGAGGTTACGATTGTTGACGACTTACGCGCCAACATGCTCCTTGGTATGGATTGCATGACCCCGGAGAAATTCGACATATTGCTATCTGACGAAGCCATCGTTATCAATTCGTGTGGCGGCATCCGGATACCCATTACCACCAAACGGCACGGCAAACCCATCAAGTCGAAAGTCATCGCTAAACATCGCATTTCTATTCCACCACAAACGCTGGCGTCTATCGCTGTCAACCACGCCGTTCATGTTGACGACGGCCAGACCCTCTTGTTCGAACCAGCCACGTTGAACGTGTCAGTATTTGCAGCCGTCGCAGATTGTCACATGGAATCAGCCATCGTGCGGAACGACACGAACCGCCCGATTACGGTCCACGCTAACCAATGCGTCGGCCACCTGGTATCGATGGAACCAGACTGTCAGGCGTACTTGGTCGACGACGCTGCCGCCGCCGAACTGGCCGTTCACAAACCCGCGCCACCACCAGAGGAACGCAGACTTGCAACAATGACCGAGGACGACATTAAGCTCAACACTATTCAGCATCCGTGCGGCGTCACAATTTACAACTTACCGCCCGCACAAATGGCCCCCTTGTGGTCACTGGTAACCGAATACCAGGACGTCTTCAAAGACAAAGGCTTTGTCAACCTGGACCAAGACCAATGGATGCGCGTTAAATTACGACCCGGCTGGCATGAAACACTTCCAAAGAAATGCCGAATCTACCCCATGAACGCAGAGGACCGCGGCGTCGTCAAGGATACCATTGGGAAACTGGAAAGCGGCGGAAAGGCCACAAAGACCCGGTTTCAAGTGCCATTTTCCTTCCCTGTCTTCGTCGTGTGGCGAACAATGCCCGATGGCACCAGGAAAGGCCGCATGGTAGTCGACATTCGCATGCTCAACAAGATCGTTCTTCCCGACGCATATCCAATGAAGTCACAGGACGACATTATGGCAAGACTGGCCAACGCCAAGTACATCACGATCCTCGACGCCGTTGCGTTTTACTATCAATGGTTGGTCGACCCGCGTGACCGCTGGGTATTTACCATGAACACTCCCGAAGGCCAATATACCTTCAACTGTGTCGTTATGGGTTACCGAAACAGCAATGCGTACGTTCAACGCCAAATGAATTTGCTTCTCAAACACATCGACGCAGCCGACGCATATTGCGATGACGTCGCCATCGGTTCCCGGAAATTCGACACCGACGACGGCCACCTCGCCCACCTTCGCCGCGTATTTGACGCATTGCGCCGCCGAAATATATCTATCGGGCCCAGCAAATCGTTCATCGCATTTCCCAGCGCGACAGTTCTCGGCCGTATGGTAAACAGCATGGGCATGTCAACCACGACAGAACGGCTGTCAGCCATTACCAAGTTGAACTTTCCAGCTACCCTCAAGGACCTCGAGTACTTTATCGGCGCCACCGGTTGGCTCAGGCACAATGTACCGCTGTATTCTATCCTGGTCGAACCGCTGCAACGGCGAAAGACGGCATTGTTGAAAACACGGAATCGGAAAGGAAAACGACGGTCATGGTCGCACGCGGTTCAGTTACTATTGCCCACCTCCGAGGAACTGGCATCCTTCGAAGCGGTCAAAGCCGCATTATCCAGACATACGACACTAGCATTCTTCCGCGACGCGGATCCATTTTGCATCGACGTAGACGTATCGGCACTCGGCATCGGCGCTGAGGTTTACCACATTGAACCAGCCGCCCTGCAAAAAGTCACCAAGGACGGCCTCATCGTCAAATATCCCCCGCGCACCGCCATCCAGCCACTCGCGTACCTCTCCCGAACACTGTCGTTGGCCGAAAGGGACTACTGGCCGACGGAGATGGAAGTTCTCGGCTTGGTATGGGTGTTGGCCAAGTGCAAGCGATGGATAACCGCTACCAAGTCATCCCCCCTTTACGTTTTTACAGACCACAAATCAATTTTGGGTCTCAACAACAGAACGGCAGACATTACCAGCTCTACATCAACGACGAACAAACGACTTATCCGCGCAGCTGAGTTTTTCAGTACGTTTGACCTGCGAATCCAACACAAGCCCGGCAAATTCCACGTCGTGGCCGATGCACTGTCACGACTACCGTCGACGAACAACGTTACCGATCCGCAAGCACCCGGAGGTCTTGATAACCTTCCCAACGACAGAGAGGAACACTGGGCGTTTTGCGCCGCCACGGCACCTCTCCGGCTTCCGTCAATCAGAACGTTCCCCGAACCGGCGGACAAGGATGTCGATCTTGGCCAGCCGACGGCTACAACGACCTCCGGTATCGTCACCCTGGACATCCACCCAGAGTTTGTTGAACGGTTACAAGAAGGATACTTGCAGGATCCAGTTTGGAAGCGCACGATGACCGTCATCCGCCAAAACAACAGCCTTCTACCAGCAAACAGAGCAAATCTACCATTCGAACTACATAAAGGTTTACTTTGGAAAACCGGCGGCCAGGTTCCCCGCCTGTGTGTCCCACGTACCTGTCTGACCGACATCCTGAACGCCATACACGACGGAAACCACAGAGGCTTTCAAGCGTTGCGCACTCGGCTATCTAATTTCTGCATCAGCCAGCCAACAAAGATGTTGCGCGCGTACGTCAACGCATGCCCACAATGCAAGGCGAACGACCGACGACACCACTCGCCATATGGATCCTTGCAACCGCTAACCGGCAACGAGTGCCCATACTATATGATCACAATCGATTTCATCGTCGATCTGCCGACATCTACCGACAAGCTTGACGTTGCACTGGTCATCGTCGACAAACTCAGCAAGGAGACGCAAATAGTCTTGGGCAAATCGACATGGAAATCGTCACACTGGGGACCACAGTTGTTGAATCGCCTGCTGACGGCCAACTGGGGCCTACCGAAGGTCATCCTGTCAGACCGCGACCCGAAATTCACAGCCGCGTTGTGGCGAGCCATCTGGAAGACACTGGGCACCAATCTCCTTTACACGACGGCATACCACCCATCAACCGACGGTCAGAGCGAACGTACAATCCAAACCATCGAATCGGCATTACGCCACTACATCCAAGCATTGGATGACTTCACTAGATGGCCGGAAACCGTTCCACGATTGCAGTTCGAACACAACAATATACGGTCACGGACGACCGGCAAGTCGCCGAACGAAATCGTTAAGGGTTTCAACCCAGTTGCCGTAGCGGATGTCATCGGTGACCACCAACCCGCTAGAGATCCAAACCTTCCACAGCTACGTATGGAAGCACACGACGCCGTCGCCATCGCCGCAATGACGATGAAACACTACTACGACCGTCGTCACATGCCACGTTTTTTCGACGTGGGCAGTAAAGTCTGGCTGCGGGTCCACAAAGGTTACAATATGCCGGCAACTGACCTCATCGGGCCGAAGTTCAGTCAACAATACGCGGGACCGCTGGAAGTTGTCGAACGTGTCGGACGATCCGCATACCGGCTACGCCTCCCACCATCGTGGAGGATCCACGACGTCGTCAGTATTGACCATTTGGAGCCACACACCTTCGACCCATATGGAAGACAACTACCCGCCATTCAGCCAGTCACGACGCACAACCAGACTGTCAAAGCCATCGTCAGTCACCGGCTCCGTGGTAACGGTAACCAGTACCTCGTCAAATATGACGGTTTGGGCGCTGAATTTGACCAATGGCTCCCCGAACAACGACTGGCATCGATTGCGCCCGGCATTCTACAACAGTGGTTACAACAGCAACAACACCACAAGTGACAGCGACAACGTTGTCAACGGCATCTCGACGGGGGCGTCGAGCGCTTTGTGTGGCGGCAAACTGTGGTGACCGCTGGGCAGGGACCCCTGACGATGTGGATCGTAACTACCAATGGCAGTGGGACGGCTAACTACCCGTACCCACAGTTACGTAAGATATAGCTAGATAACTAACTAACGTAATCTATCACCTTCTGGGACACACCACCTTGTGGGACACTTTTCTGCCCCACACCCCACCACGTCGACTTCGGACGCACCTCACAACACAAAAGAGAGTCTATTCGGAATGCATTCTACATAATTCGAGTCCTTATTTACAAGGGCATTTTCTGGCGTTGTGCTCGATTGAGCCACAAACACTGCACTTCGGCTGCGCACGCTTTCGTGCCTTTGGCGCTGTCACGGGCACAGCCCGTTCCTTGTAGGGTTAGGGTTGCACGGCTGAACCCCGAGGTGGGCTGTACGTAGCTCTGCGCTGGTCTGTGCGCAGCCACAGGGTTTTCCCTGAGTGCGCCTCGCCTCCCACATTCGGTTCCTCGTGCAACCACGCAATATACCAGCTTGCCCCTACCACGGTGATCCTGACCGTGATAGGCGCAGTCGTGTCCGATGGCCCCACCTCTCCTTCTTCGACCTCTCGACGAGCTTCCTGGCTTCCTTGACCCTTCTGACGAGCATTCTGGGAGGCCTCGATGTGTGTCATCCCTTCTCCAATCGTCATAGTCCCTCCTGTTTGAATGAAAGCTCGGCGTGCCCGCTTTCTCTTTTGTCGACCATTTTCAGCTCGAAGTCGCGAGTTCTCTTCCTGCAAAAGAGTAGCATTGTGCATCGCCATCTGGCAGCCCTTGATGATTTTCTGAAGCGCCTGATCTGTTGGGCTTATCTCTCTCTGGTGTTTCCTCTGGAGTGTCACACGGATCACCACGTGGACGCAACCATCATCAATCGTTTTTTTTTAGAGATCAATGGCCACTCATCGGAAGATGGGAATTCACACGGCCGAGCCTAGGAGGCTATGAGACTCTGCCAATTGTCCTTGTCCTCCTCTTCCCTCTGTAAGTAGGGTTCCAACCCCGTGATATCTCTCTCTGAGCAGCGAGGGTGGCGCCGCATGCAACCGCACCTGGCCTAAGCCGAGTGATCTCTCCGGCCTAGACCAACCGATATCTTGCCACGTTCTGGGCCTTGACCCTCATGTGCTCGGACCTCTTGGTCTACCTTCCAACACGTCATCTTCTCATCGAGACCCTTCATGTATGAAAGACTCAGAATGTCAGATAGCTCCAGAACTTCTCTTTCTCTCTTTATGGACTTCTCGAGGCCATTGAAGATTATTCTTATTAATACATTTGGTTTTGCCGGTTCCCCCGGCAGCTGATTGTTCAAGCCCTGGAATACCAGCCCTTGTAACATGGAGAGAGTCAAGTTCGACGATGTTTGCGGGCGTTTTGAGAGGCAGACTTGGCGGTTGGATAGGGGTAGGAGGGGGACTCGGTGTCCGTATCCTGGTTTGTAGCCGACAAAGAACCTGAGTTGGATCGAAAGGCAAGAGCCCTGCAGCTCTAAAGCCGCTTGCGATGTTCTTTGTATTGAATGTCGTTTTCCGAGCTTCGAGAAACAGTTCGAGGAATCGCGGTTTGTCAATGTGATGAACCCCGAGTGCTATCTTCGCTTTGACAAGGTCGCCGTACGTCCGCTTAAGCACAGCGAAACAGCTAACGTCAAGGGGCTGGAGGTAGTGCGACGAGTGCGGAGGCATACACTCTGTAAGGATCCGATGCTCAGTACAGAATTTGTCGAATGCAGGCGTCGAATGGCTTCCATGACCATCGAGAATGAGAAGCCGATATCGACCAACAGTCCGTTTTCGAGTTGTGGCTCGAAGACTTCTCGAAGCCACTCGAAGGTAAGCTCATCGGTTGTCCAGCCGTTATCGCTGACTCCAATCCGCCATGTCTTTGGCAGCACTGAGCCGTCGTACCACGACGAAATGTGGACTTTTCCTTCAAAGATAATCATCGGGTCAACACTCCAGCCGGATGCGTTAATGCACTCGATGACAGTTGTCCACTCTCGATTTCCCGGCTGGATAACAACAGGTCGATTCCGTCGGTCAGATCGAGTGACCACTTTAGACGTGCTTGCAACACCCATCTGGAAACCAGTCTCGTCAAAGTTGTAGATGTCGCTGTCAAGAACACCGTATTCGTTGATGGTCCTTTGCACTCGTGCAAACCACGCTGAAATCTTCTCTGGATCCTCGCATAAGGCCCGTTGATAGTCGTACTTTCTAGAATACTTCGTCTCCAGATGGGGATGCCGATGAAGAAGCCGCTGGACCCAGTTCTCACCGACAGTCATTGCCGGGACCGGGGTGGATGTAAGAGACGCATCGAGTAGAGTGAAGCTTCCACGCTCGCGGAGAAGAAGGTCAGCCATCTGTCGGATATAACCGATCGTCGGCGACATCCCACGGTCGTCCAATGACTCGATCCATTGAATCAAGGCTGCTTCTTCAGTTGGGCGTAGCTTTCGGTTCTTGACTTGAGCTTTTTGACGCGTACCGCCCCCCTTGACGCGTCTGTGGAGAGTGGACTTCGGTACACCAAACGCATCCGCAGCCTTGCGAATGATTTTGATTTGGCCTGAACGTAAGGCCTCGAGTGCTAATTGGATTCTATCTTCGTGCTGTAGAGGCTTTGGCATTTTGCCGGGCACAATGGCGTAGTGGAGTGCGTCCGAAGTCGACGTGGTGGGGTGTGGGGCAGAAAGCTGTCCCACAAGGTGGTGTGTCCCAGAAGGTGATGGATTACGTTAACTAACGTTAGATTGGAAGTACCAGCTTACCTTGGTACTTCGAGAGAACCAGAGCATGCGTTTGGTTGAACTCGTCGAGAGGAGTACGTCGGATGGAAGGCATCTTCAGCTGATGAGCAGCCTGAGGCTCAACGGGATGTAGGGGAACTTGGTCATTGGCGGCATTGACTTCGGCAGCCCCACGGTCGACTCGCTCTTGCAGCTGGTTCAATTCTGAGTCGTGGACTAGCACATTGGGCACCGCAGCTTCGTCAACAGCCTCTCCGTCCTCTTCCGGCGCTTCAACAGGGCCAGAATCTGCAGGCAACCCTTCACACTCCTCGACCTCGTGGATATTCAGCTGATCAAAGACGTTGCCGTCCTCTGGCAACTGGGAGAGGTTGTCGTAGTTCCAGGTGAAACTCCGATAGCCAGGGTGGTTGTCGGCGAGGAATCTGAGCCATGTCTCGACTGCTGCTCGGCGGACTCGGAAGCGGTTGCGGAATTGTCGGTCCATCTGTTCAGCATTCTGTGACGAACCTACTTCTGGACCCGGTCCTGTTAGGGTTCGGCTTCGGTCGAAGGTAATCTTTCAAGGGTGCTTAGGTTCGGTGCAGCCAAAGGGTGCACAACAAAGACTTGTCTCAACAGTAGGCTTTCGAGCTTGTAGCGAACTGTAGTTGTGATTGCTAACTGGAGAACTTCCCAGAGCTCCCCAGAACGAGTGGCTATATAATGCTATCTGAGCCGTTGATCCCAGTGCTCCCTATGCTCCCGGGGAGCATTGGGAGCGTTGGGAGCGTAGATGCTCCCCGTGCTCCCGGGGCTGGAAGGGAGCGCCGGGAGCACCCCCTTCTGGCGTTATGATTGGTCCAATGTTTCCGTGAATGATTGGACGGGACGTCCTGCGTCCTGCAAGCCAAGACCGTACGGGTCCTAATCCGTGACACATTCTCAGATCCACGTGGGCGGAGGAGAGAGAGTGGTGATACTGAAACATCCAGATCTGTGAGCTGAATGGGTCTAGCGACACCCAATTCACCTTTTACTTACTATATTAATCTTCTTCACGTCTTTTGAGGCAGCTGGTTGAAGATTCCGTCTTTCCAGATGCCAGGTGCGGCGCGCGGCGCTTCAGACGTCATTGACGTCATGAGAGGCGATTCGGGGTCCCCAGGAGTGGGATATCGCCGGCCCCAGCGCAAAAGGGTGAAAACGGCGAGGGCGATGGAATCAATGCAAGAAGAAAACGATATGGGAACTGTGAGGAGGAAAACAGCAGTGAGAGAATGCTGAGAAACCACAAAAATCGCATCAATTCGGAGCCGCAGCGGCCGAGAGAGACAAGGGAGGGAATCCAGGGCCAAGAGCAAACTGCGGACTGCAACTTCGAAAACAAATTGAACACTATCAAAATGGAATTTCAGCTTCAATTCGAAAAGCTCAGGGATCACATGGTAGAAGAGATGGCCAAAATGACGGCCCGGTTGACCGAAGAACTGTCGCAAGCGCGAGAGCAACTCACCCAAGCCCGCCGCGAGCTCGAGGACACCAGACTGCAGCTCCACACCATGAACCAGGCTCAGGAAGCCCCTCTTGCTCGGCCGGCGTATGCGGATGTCGCCCGATGTACACCTCCTACCAGCGGTCCTAGTCTGGCATCCTCCGCAAGCCGGACGGCTACGCCAGAGCCAGCGTTCTGCACGGTAGACATGACCAGGGTACCGGAGGAACACATCGAAGAGGCTACACCAGTGGCTCTTCGCAAACTCATCGAGAACGAGATGCGAGCGCCGGGAGACCAACCCAAATGGCGTTGTCTTGCCGTTACCAGAGACAGAGGAAACATCAACCGCCTTAGGATCAGTTGGCAGGAACGAAGCGGAAGTAAAGAGAATCAAGGACATCATCGAAGCGAAGAAGGCGCCGGGTGCACACGTCCTACGTGACCAGCTGTACCCAGTCAAAATTGACAACGTCAACCGTACGGCCGTTCTCGACCCTGAAGGCAAAGTACTCCCCGGAGCGGCGGAAACCCTGGGCCGAGAGAACGACGTGCAGATCGCCAAGTTGGCTTGGTTGAGCCGGAAGGACACTGCGAAAGCGTATGGATCGATGGTGGTATATATCACCAAAGCCGGCGATGCTAAGAGGCTCATCAATGAGGGTTTCTTCCACGCGAGAGGCGAATCGGGATACACGGGAATCTTCGAACGTCGGGCGCGGCCGAACCAATGCTACAACTGCCAGCAGATTGGCCACAAAGCTTTCCAGTGCAGGAACCCTCAAGTGTGTGGAATGTGCGCTAGTGAGGGCCACCGTCACAGCGAGTGCTCAGCAGCTATACCGAAGTGCGTTCTGTGCGGAGGACCACATGAATCGTTCAGCAAGAATTGCCGGAAGCTCTATCCATCTCGTCATGAATAGGACGTTTCAGGTCATCCAATTGAACGTCAGAAAGCAAGGGGAGGTGCATGATAGTTTGATGAACGACGTGGCAATCCAGGACGCTGCCGTCATAGCCATTCAGGAACCCCAGGCGCGGAGGATCCAAGGACGGCTTCTGACGACCCCTATGGAGCATCACAAATGGACCAAGATGATCCCGTGCACGTTGAAGGAAGGTAGATGGGCTATCCGGAGCATGCTCTGGGTGAACAAAATCGTGGAAGCCGAGCAGGTGGCAGTGGACTCCCCGGACATCACGGCAGCAGTCATACGGCTCCCGGAGCGCGTAGTCCTGGTCGCGTCCGTCTACGTACCGTGTGGGGACGGCGAGGCACTAAAAGACACCTGCGAGAACCTCTCGCAGGGTGGTAGCAAAGGCGAAACGGGGCGTAGGAACGACTGTCGATATAGTGGTTGCAGGTGATTTCAACTGCCACGACCAATTGTGGGGAGGAGACGACGTCTCATCCGTGAGACAAGGGGAAGCCGACCCCATCATCGACCTCATGAACGAGCTGACTCTAAGCACTCTACTCCCAAGGGGCACAATAACATGGCAAGCAGGTGGATACGGTTCGACTATCGACCTGGTCCTGGCCTCGGAGGAACTGGCAGAAGCCGTGATCAGATGTGGAGTCCATAGAACGGAACACGGTTCAGATCACCGCGCGATTGAAACAGTCTTCGATATTGAGGTACCTGTGCCGACGCACCACGACCGACTGCTTCTCAAGAACGCGCCATGGAAAGACATCAGAGCCAAAATTGCAAATACACTAGGGGACACCCCAGCGGAGGGGACAGTCCAGCAGAGAACGGACCGCCTGATGTCCACTGTCTCAGGCGCGGTTCATTCCCTCACTCCCAAAGCCCGGCCATCGCCATACGCAAAGCGATGGTGGACTACGGACCTGACGCAGCTACGTCACATCTACACGCACTGGAGGAACCGCGCTCGCTCGGAACGCCGGGCAGGTTGGACCACAGCCGAGATTGAGGAATTGGCAAAGGGTGCAGCAAAACAGTACCACGATGCCATCCGGCAGCAGAAGAAGAAGCACTGGGCCGAGTTCCTTGCGGACAACGACAACATTTGGAAGGCTGCAAAGTATCTAAAATCCGGAGATGATACCACGTTTGGAAGGATCCCGCAACTTGTTAGAGCAGATGGTACATCCACGGCCGATCATAGAGAACAGGCCGAAGAGCTCCTAACAAGATTCTTCCCGGCCTTGCCCGATACGATCGACGATGAAGGTCCAAGACCACAGAGGGCACCCATCATGACGCCTATCCTTACGATGGAGGAAGTCGAACGACAGCTGTTCGCAACGAAGTCCTGGAAGGCACCAGGGGAGGACGGTTTGCCGGCAGTGGTGTGGAAGGAAGTCTGGCAGGTGGTCAAGCACCATGTACTGGCGCTCTTCCGTGCCTCACTGGAGGACGGGGCCCTTCCCAGCCAGTGGCGACATGCTAATATCATCCCGCTCAAGAAACCGGGCAAAAAGGACTACACCATCGCAAAGGCGTGGAGACCAATCTCCCTCCTAGCAACGCTGGGCAAAGCGCTGGAGTCGGTGATCGCGGAACGGCTGTCCCACGCCGTGGAGACCTACGGCCTCCTGCCCACCAACCACTTCGGCGCGCGGAAGCAGCGATCAGCAGAGCAGGCGCTGGTATTTCTACAGGAGCAGATCTACACGGCCTGGAGAGGACGGAAGATTGTCAGCCTCATTAGCTCTCGATGTCAAGGGAGCCTATAACGGAGTCTGCAAGGAACGGCTGGTCCAGAGGATGAGGGCACGTGGTATCCCGGAAGAGCTGTGCCGATGGACAGAAGCTTTCTGTTCTGACCGTACGGCCTCTATCCAGGTCAACGGGCATGCTGCAGAACGACGGGACCTCCCACAGGCTGGCCTGCCCCAAGGCTCGCCCCTCTCCCCTATCTTGTTCCTCTTTTTCAACGCGGATCTGGTCCAGCGAAAGATCGATAGCAACGGTGGTGCAATAGCCTTTGTCGATGACTTTACCGCCTGGGTCACAGGACCGACGGCACAAAGCACACGCAAGGGCATCGAAGCAATCATCGACCAAGCACTAGACTGGGAAAAGAGAAGCGGAGCGACATTTGAAGCAGACAAGACAGCCGTCATCCACTTTACCCGCAAGGCCTATAAAGCCAACTCGGAGCCCTTTACTGATCAATTGGGTCAAGATGTTCAGCCGAAAGACCACGTTAAGATCCTTGGAGTGGTCATGGATGCCAAGCTCAGGTATAAGGAGCATATCGCAAGAGCGGCCTCCAAAGGGCTCAGCGCGGCGATGGAGCTGAAACGGCTCAGTGGTCTATCCCCGGCTACGGCGCGGCAGCTGTTCACCGCCATGGTCGCGCCAGTGGTGGACTACGCATCCAGCGTCTGGATGCACCAATGCAATTGGAAGACCGTGCCGGCCATACACAGGGTGCAGAGGGTCGCGGCGCAAGGGATCATAGGAACGTTCAGCACGGTAGCAACACGCGTAGCAGAAGCAGATGCTCACATCCCCACGGCTCAAGATCGATTCTGGAAGAGGGCGATCAAGATGTGGACGGACATCCACACCCTACCAGAGACGAATCCACTCCGCAACACCACTTCCCGGATGCGCAAGTTCCGGAGATCCTACCGCTCCCCTTTCTTTCAAGTAGCAGATCTCCTCAAGGACGTCCCATTGGACAGCCTCGAAACCATCGCTCCCGTCGTATTAGCGCCATGGGAGAGGCGAGTCCGCACTACGGTTGACAGAACGGGCATCCAGCAAAAAAAGACAGAGTGGGCGGTCCGGATCGCCGTAAGCAGCTCCGCACGAAACAACATGGTCGGGATCGGAGGAGTCGTCCGTCTCCCGCTGCCGATGCGAGATGGCTCAAGGAACGAAGCCTTTAGTGTGACGCTGGGCTCCAGGTCGGAGCAAAACCTCGTTCTCAGGCGAGCTTGCGGCTATTGGGTACGCGTTGAGGTTGATTCGAAATATCAGGTACCGAAAGATCATCCTTGCCACCAGCAACAAGGCAGCCGTGATGGCCTTGGAGCGACCACACCAGCAATCAGGACAACAATATCTCTGTCAGGCGTACGATGCGATAAGTGCCTTACGCAAGGCGGGAAACACGATCTCGGTCGTCTGGATCCAAGCGGGTACCAAAAACGAGCTCCTGAACACAGCCAAAGCGAAAGCAAAGGAAGCAACACGGCAGGACGCTACGCCACAAACGCAGGATCCTGCCATGCGGTCAACAGCCCTCCGTATTGCATGGGCAAAGCGGGCACCGCCCACGTCCTTACCTGACAAAGTGGGCAGACATTCCAAGAGAGTCGATATAGCGTTACCAGGGAAGCACACCCAACTATTATACGACCACCTGTCCCGAAGCGAGGCCGGCGTGCTTGCTCAGCTTAGAACAGGCATGGCCAAGCTCAACACATACCTGCATCGCATCAAAGCAGCACCGTCAGACCAGTGTACGTGTGGACAAGCCAGAGAGACAGTGGACCACTTCCTCTTCCGATGCAAGCAATGGGATCAACACCGTAGGGAGATGCTGCAATGTACGGATGTCCACAGGGGGAACCTCTCCTTCTACCTGGGAGGAAAGTCGCCCTCGGATGACAAGGACTGGTCCCCCAACATGCGGGCGGTGCGGGCGACGATACGTTTTGCCATTGCCACAGGTCGTCTGAGGACTGAACAACAACAGAATGAAGCAAACTAACCTCACCATCCTAAACCCCGACTAACAACCCCCTTCATCTCGTGTCACACGGAGTAAGCGCGCTTCAGCCGCCGAAGATAGGACGTTGGACACTTGGAGACTAGCCTTCAAGCCAGCTTACTATTCGTACAACTAACCCACGAGCATCCGCAGCAGAGAGGGCAAAATTGTAAGGAGATAAGCCAGAAAAGGAGGATGTACGGGCTTCATGAGATCAGGATCCATTTTAGGATATGTATTAGTAGATTGCATGATAGTTGCCCTTTCGGGTTAGGCCCGCCGGGCGGAATAAATTGTGTGTGTGTGTGTGTGTGTGTGTGTGGGCGGAGGATAACAATGTCCAAATCCTTGGGCAATAAGGGAAGCTCGGAATACACCTTGCCCACGTCGCGCAGGAAGTGTACAATATGACCACGATACTTGTATTGCTGCCCACGAACCTGGTGCTAGTTAGTAAGTAGACTCTCTCGCAGGAAACATCGCATACAGTGAATACATTGACGCTGACGTGCACACGCGCAATGAAAAGCTCCTCCAACGGCTCTAGTTGGGGCAACTGGGGTGGGACGATGCCAAAATCAAGCTTGTTCTCTGCGGAAAAGAGAAAAGGTTCGTCCTGCCGCTTCTTGTCGTCTTTGTCGTGGCAGCGCTTGCAAACGCCGTCCGCCATGAGCTTGATGTCGAACCAGCGCTCCTTGCAACGCAGGCATCGCTGCATCTCCACTGCGGCAAGTGCTTCATCAAACTCCCTCTTTATTGCAATATCTTCGGGTGACAGTGGCGCCTCTTGATCGTTTCCCATGAACTGCGGACCGGGCTCGTCAAATTCTCGCGGGGTATTCTCTTCGGCAAGTCGTTGCTTGCGAGGGCGACCAACTGGGTTGCGTGCAAGTCGGGGACGGCCACGCGGACGACCACGAGAGAGGCCAGGAGAGGCAGGACGGCGTTGGGGAACCTGTGACCCACGGTGGGGCAGCTGTGGCAATGCGTGTCGTAAGTCATCCGCGTCACCTTCGAAGTGCTCTTCCTCAAAAACTTGCACGGGGAGCCTGTTATCTCGGTTGATCGTAGGTGCCTCATCACCAGCATTCCGTACCTGCTCTCCTCGAAGCAACCCGCTTAGCGGCGGGGTTGGCGAAGGCTGCTCGCCATGGCGCCGTTTCACGCGGTGGCGTCGCTGGATTGCTAATCGTTGATCCCTGGCGATTGCCATTTCCGGGCTATCTGTAGCAACGCGCCCCCTTTCGTGATACATCTCCGCAAGGACGCCGTGTGTGAGGTTCCTTCGAGGCCTAGGTATAGGCAGGAGAGGTTGTGGGACAGGTGTAGGCGCAAACGCAGGTGCGAGAGGAGGGGCACGACATTCTCCGCGGGCGATCGCGCGAGAAGCCTGAATGCTTGCTCGTGACGCATCAACCTGCGATACGTTAGATGAAGAAAAAAATGGTAACCAAGGATTGCTACATGGTGCTTCTGCTTGTTCCGGCAACCTAAACAGTTAACAACAATCCTTCCGTTCCCGCGAGCGTCGTAGAACTGGTCAATGGTTTGCTCGGTCCGGCATTTGCGATATGTCTTCCGTGCCGTAGCCGCCTCGTCAGCGCCGCCTACGACAATTGTGAGATCCATTTAAAACGCGAAACGCAGATGGATGGATGGATGGAATTTATTTCGCCCGGAGGCACTGGGCCTATAGGGCCTTAGCACGCTAACTACATCCGGATCAAATCGGTTTGCCTTTAACTCGTACAAGCGCGAAACGCAGATGGGATGCGATGGAATTTATTTCGCCCGGAGGCACTGGGCCTATAGGGCCTTAGCACGCTAACTACATCCGGATCAAAATCGGGTTTGCCTTTTAACTCGTACAGGCAAACGCAGGATCTGTAGACGTAAATCGGGTTTATTCTTCGTGAGTCTCGTGGAAGAAAGGCCTTCCAACCAATCGACACTCCGAAGCCTTTCAACCAAGTAGGGGGCTTGTACGAGTTAAAGGCAAACCGATTTGATCCGAATGTAGTTAGCGTGCTAAGGCCCTATAGGCCCAGTGCCTCCGGGCGAAATAAATTCCATCCATCCATCCATCCTTTCAACCAATCGACACTCCGCGATGAAAGGGCCGTTAAAGCTTATCAGTTTCCCATAGTAATTTCCAAAAGTTTGAGCGCAATATTGTCCTCCGGACAGGATAAGTAGCGACGACGAGAGTGTAGATGCATCAGCGCTTGGAACGATAATAGAAATGATTGGTATAGGTGGGATGAGAAGCTCGAGTGAATGGAGTTGATGGCCGACGGACAGATATTGGCGCTTCGTCTCTCCCGTATTCAACCCTAACCCGGATTGTCCTCCGGAGAGGGACAGGAAAATTGCCAGGAGCGGGAGAGAGGAAGGAAGCGCCCCGTAGCGTAGCGAAGGGCCGCGCGACTGACGAACGAAGCGACGCCAGCAATTTAGTGGAAATAGCCGACCCTTAAAGTGGAAATAGACCTTCTCTTGAAACAATACTTCCCCCTATAACTCTTACCCTCTCCCTCGTGCGCCTTCAGCCCTGCGGTTCCAACATCCAGCACCGGCGCTGTAGTGGAGGGCCACCTCTCCTCCATCCGCTACGCCCTAGGTTCTCGGGTTAGAAAAGGTGCCGTCCATGAACGGGGTCTGCTAGTAGCGCGGGTTGATGGGATTAACGACGACGCCAATCTAGCTGCCCGTCGTACCGCAGCCGTAGAGGGCGGCGGCTTCTGTAGCCGTGTCGGCCCCAGTACCGTTATCGATAGTGTTAGCAATGCCGTTAAAATTGAGGCGGAGCTGTCGCCGACCAACTTGGCCATGACCCACGTCGTGCCCTTGGTTGACACCTGCCACTCGGCGCAGTTGTCGGTGTCGGGAAGGTCGATGGTGTAAAACTGCGGCGGGTTCTAGGCTGCCGGCGATAGGAGCGCAGATATCTGGCGATGTAGGTGTTCCTAGAGCGAGATGCCGCCGGGCTCGCTGTAGCGGATTCTGTCGGCCGGCTCGGCAGCGGAGCAAATCGCCGCCGTCTTGCTAGCAGTGACCAAGACCGCGAGAAGGAGCATGTTCGAGAGAACGATGATGGACGGGGATGCTCAGGGGGCGGTGCGGGCTGACAGAGACGGATGGACAGATGCACAGTTCGCAATATCAAGATCCCCCAGCTGATCTGCCTTTTCACTGTCTTTCAACAGGTGGTTTGAGATGTGCGTAGGGCGGGTGGCACCATCTACTCCTTGTCGTATTTGCGGCCAAGACGGGCGTTCGTTGCTATCCCAATCTTGATGCCCGACATCATCGGCAGCAATGTTCTCGGAAGGCCTCCTTGGCAGCCTTGGTTGCTCCTGGTCTTGCTGCCGCTGCTGTGCTACGTTGGCTTCTGTAGCTGCCAACACCAGGCCCACACGGAGTATCCAGGCTTTAGGTGGATGGCCGGCAGCGAGACTTACAGGCAGTCTCAGGTATGCCAGTTGCTTGCTTTCCTACGTAGACAGTGAAACTTTCACAAGCAAGCGTGGGCCACGGCTTGACACCCCGGGGTTTACGGCAAGTTTCCCGATGGACGATGCAACGCGACGTACCGTCTATACGGTGGAATATCATTTCACCGTCGGGCGAGGGGATAGTCAATGCAACCTTCGCCCCCCAACCGCTCATTGAGTCTGCTTTCGCCCAATGGTGCTCGGAGTCACCACCCGCCGGCAACTTCATCCGGACAAAGCCTGCGATTCCAGGACCCGAGCGGTAGTATTCGGCATGGTCCCAAAGATTCTATAAGTAGAAGATGCTCGGCGCAGCGATGTGGACTGCATTACAAAAGCCAGCGTCTCGCCGGCTAAACGTCCGGGCCATTCGAACTCATCACGTCTTCATTGCCTACTCCCTCACAATGCTGTTCCAAGCTGCCCTCGGCGTTATCCTCGCTGGACCTAGCCCCGTCACAGCCCACGGCTATGTTGACAAATGGACTATCGATGGCCAGAGCTACACCGGGTTCAATCCAACCACAGCGCCGTGGGTGCCTGACCAAGGGACCATCAGCTGGCCGGCCTGGAACACAGATACGGGGCCTGTTTATGGTAGCAACGTGGACAGTCCAGACATCATCTGTTCGGTGAATGCCACCAATTCCAAGATCTACCCCGTCCCCGTCGCTGCCGGCAGCACTATCAAGCTGCACTGGACGACTTGGCCAGAGTCGCACCACGGGCCCATGTTCACCTACTTGGCGGCCTGCAACGGAGATTGCGTCACCGCGGACAAGAAGCAGCTTCGATGGTTCAAGATCGCGGAGCTAGGGCAGATCTCGTATGGCGCAGGCGGTGGTAAATCTGGTGTTTGGGCCGCCGACCAACTGCGCTTGGCCGGAGGAGACTGGGATGTCACCATTCCCTCTTCCATCAAGGCCGGCAACTACGTCCTCCGACACGAGATCCTGGCCCTCCATTCTGCCTACGACGTTGGCGGCGCCCAGTTCTACCCCCAATGCACCAATATTCAGATCACTGGCGGCGGTAATGACACCCCGGCTGGAGTTGTGGGAACATCGCTCTACACCAAGGACGAGCCGGGCGTGCACTACAACATCTACAACGACGAGTCAAAGCCGATTTATCAAATGCCTGGCCCTCCGTTGATTTGATAGGTACGACGATGTCCCCTGACTATTGCCATGCTTGCAATGACTATTGCCATGCTTGCAATTGCCTGCTGATATCAAAAGACAGGCGTGGTCTCAGCCAAGGAGCGGGCCAAGCTCGAGCCAAAGGGAAATGGGACAAGAACCCCAAGAAAAGGGAGGGAACGAGCAAGGTGGAAAAGAGCGAGATCAATTCCCGTAGAGTAGGTACGCCACGAACAAATCGAGATCCTGAGTTCTTGCTCTCAACCACAAGGATAATAAACGACAACACCTCATCGTTTTGCGAACATGCCCATGCACCTGGCAAAGTCGCCGCAAAGGGATACCGCCAGGTTCGGAGGCCATCCCACCGTCTATGCACGCTAGGCTCTTGGCTCACGCGGAGCAACGGTGGGAGCCGACCGTGCCCTAAAAGGGCAGGTGATCAGTAACACCGCGGGCTGTTTGCATCGTCCAAGATAGAACTCATACGCGAAGCTGGACGGAACCAGGTATTTGATTTGTATCCTCTTCCCTCCCATTGATCTTTGCCGGGGTTGTCCTTTCTTTATCTGGTCTTACACCCTCGCCCTAACCCGAATCCCAAACAGCCTGACGGGGTCACGCCTCTTGTGGTCCCCTAGACTGCGTCAACCATACGCCCCCTGCTACATGTAGCCTTCCCGCCTCGGCAGAGTGGAGGGTACCTCGAGCCCAGCCGATCTCGACTGTCCATCTCCCACACACTTTTTTTGTACCTTTGTATCTAACTTCTAGAGTCGGCAATGACAGCAAACACCATAAAACAAAACACCACCCCCCCAAAAAGAATCCTGTGGCGAGCGCCGTAAACGAAAAGGGTCTAGCGGACGTGTATTTTATCGTAACAACCCCAAGTAAGCCCTGCAGTTAGCAAGGAAAAGCCCTCTCATCAGCGCGGGCCTTGAGGACGGCGCGGGTGGCGAGGCGAGCGAGCTCGGCGACAAAGTCGTCGACCATCTTCATGTGGGTCATCTCGTCGCGGGCGAGGCGGCGGAGGCGCATCTCTTGGATGAGCTGCGGAGCCGCGTTGAGCAGCTCGAGGTCGGCGTCGGCGAGGGGCTGGAGCGGGCTGTAGATGATGTTGCAAAAGATGGTCCAGAGGGCGGAGATGGGGTAAAAGACGGCCATCCTGGGAGGGTTAGCGAGGCGACGCACGGCCAGAGAATACATACCAAAAGACCTCGCCCATGAGGTGGTGGACGTTGGCGCGGAGGTAGACCATGGTGGAGCGGCTGGCCTCGACGGCGAGGGCCAGGCTGGATCGGACGCCCTCCATGCTCTGCTGGGCGGTCCAGGAGCGGCAGCGGCCTGTGGCCTCGTGGATGGTGGCGACGAGGTGGTGGTACTCGACGTGGATCATGAAGCGCTCCATACGGCGCGGTTCGGACAGGTCGGGCCGGGGCAGCTCCTCGCGCGGAGAGAGCGACGGGCGGAAGCGGGCGGGCACCGAGAGGCGCCAGGCCTCGAGCTCGTCGTCGAGCTGGCGGATGTCGCGGATGACCTCAGCGTCGGACTTGCGCATGGCCTTGGCCGAGTAGAGCAGCGTGTACGTGCGGGACTTGATGATGTCGAGGCGCACGTCACCGGGTAGCAGGGGGACAGCGGTGTCGTCGAGCAGCAGGTGCTCAAACTCGGGTATGTCATCGACGTACTTGAAATCGAGGTAACCCTGGGGAAGGGTCAGGTCGCAGTCGTCGTCGTTGATGGACGGGGGCTGGCCGGTGCGCAGCGAGATCTCCTTGTCGTTGCAGTAGACCATCCAGAAGAGCTTGCGCAGCTGGTTCTTGACACGCCAGTCGTGGCCGGCGAGGGACGACCAGGGTGGCACGACGACGGTGTTGGCCCCGAGTGTGAACATCATGCGGCAGGCGACCGAGTGGAAGACGGCGGCCTTTTGCAGCTGGCCGAGCAGGAGGTGGTACAGAGCCTGGGATGGTTAGCCACGTCTTTTCTGGTTAGGGGTCACCTACCAGCATGAAGCAGGTCTGCAGCCCGTCGAGGGAGGTCTCGTGGAGCACCTTGGGCAGCAGATGCTGGGCCTGCACGGCGCACTCCTCGCTGTCGAGCGTGGGCATGGATTTGGGGTACATGTGGTGCAGGGATAGCAGGGCGAGAAAGGAAAAGATGCAGGCGCGGGCGGCGACAGCCTCGAGGGAACAGCGGCCGGCGCCCGTGTCGTAGGCGGCGTCGATGGTCTGACGGAACAGGATGCCGTCTACGGCGGGCCAGATGCGCTTGAAAGGGTTGGAGGTGAACATGTCCAGGGCCTCTTCGACGACACGGCGGTCCGGGAGTGGCATGCCCTCGCTGTGAACCGTGTTGGCGCACCAAAAGGCTGGGTGGACGCCGCCGTGGCGGCGGGGTGGGGCTACGGAGAGGGTTTGGAGCGGAGCGCTCTCGCCGGTCCGGGAGGCGATCCACTTCTGCCCCTCGCTCGACAGGAAGGGGATGCCGTTGTGGAGACTAATGTCACCGAGGTGCCGGCCGGCGAAGTGGAGCTTACCAAACGCTGGCCCCTGCACGGATGCGGGGGACTCGGCACGGATAGGCGATTCTGCAAAGTGATCCGAGAGCTGGTAGCTGGGCGAGGTCACGAGACTGGAGCTGGGGGAGCCGTAGGTGGAAGGGTTGGTGTCGGCCGTGGAGGACGGCGTAAAAGGCGCGCTCCAGTTCACAGGCGCATCCGGCAAGCTCAGGGGCGAGGGGACGGTGTCAAAGACCACGGGTACGGGTACGGGCATAGGCGGCCCAGGGTCTTCCATCTCCATCTCGGGCTGCTCAACCTCGACCCGCTCCACGGCATTCACGGACCTACCAATGTCAGTTTCGCCCACAGGTACATCCATGGCCACGCACTTCTTTGCCTTGCCCCTCCGCCTGGTCGATATTGGGCGGTTAAAGGTGCAGGGCAGGTCGTGATGGCGACACCAGTCGCAGCGCGGGCTGGCGGCATCGCATTGGATCTCCAGAGACGGTCAGTGTTTGATTGAAATTAGGGCGGGAATAAGGTGGGCATACCTTGCGCTGGTAGCATGAGTCGCAGGCCCTCTTCCTCATCCTGGTTTTGGGCGTCTATGCACAAGATATGCTGTCTGTGGTGTTCACTAATTTCGATGGGGTCCGCGACCAACGAGATTTGAATTGCTCGCCTTGATCAGCAGCGGTGGTGGGCCGCGTTATGGCTGAAACGTGTTGCTCGCGTCGACCACCTGCCGCTTGCTGCGCCAGGCTTTGTCAGCGGCGAGTTCTTGAGCCGTCTTTATGCCGCCGCAAACACGCAGGTGATGACGCAGCTCTCTTTACGGGCTTACTCTGACAGCAAAGTTGACGAGCTCGGGTAACGGCCCAATCATGCCCGCAGCGATTATGTCAGCGGCATCTCGAAAAAAGCCAGCCGGCCTCGCCTACATATCACGTCCCAAAGGGGATGGCAGAGGCGGGTGACGCGAGTCCTGCTGCTCGGTGCGTGCTAAATACACACGCTTCCCCGATTTCTCGCAGCGGCTCTCTCTCTCTTACGAAATGTACTCTGTAAGCTGTTCTCATCCGCCAAGATTCAAACATGCCAGGATCCAGCGGCAGTATGACGGCGTCCGAAGGGGACCAGCCGTGGACCCTCCAGGCCCCGGGCCTCCCCAAGGCCGACCACCTCCCCGACTTCCAGCCGCGGCGTCTTGGCATTACCTGGAAGAACCTCACCGTCAAGGCCGTGGCCGCTGATGCCACCATCCATGACAACTTCATGTCCCAGTACAACGTGGCCCAGAAGCTGCGCGACGCCCGGAGGAAGCCCGCGCTCAAGACCATCCTCGACAGCAGCCATGGCTGCGTAAAACCCGGCGAGATGCTGCTGGTGCTCGGGCGCCCTGGGTCCGGGTGCACGACGCTGCTCAGCGCGCTCTCGAACCGGCGCCGGGGCTACTCCAGCGTCGAGGGTGATGTCCACTATGGCTCCATACCTGCTGCCGACGCCGGGCCGTACCGCAGCCAGATCGTCATGAACACCGAAGACGAGCTCTTCTTTCCGTCCCTGACTGTGGACCAGACCATGGACTTTGCGACACGCCTCAAGCTTCCGATTGACACCTCTAGGGATGCCGCCTCGCGCGAGAAGGCACGCAAGGAGACGCGCGACTACCTGCTCGAGTCCATGGGCATCGGCCACACGCACAGCACCAAGCTCGGCAACGAATTCATCCGCGGCGTGTCTGGTGGTGAGCGCAAGCGCGTATCCATCGTCGAGTGCATGGCCACGCTGGGGTCCGTGTTCTGCTGGGACAACAGCACACGCGGGCTCGATGCCAGCAAGTAAGTGTTGTCACTCCGTCAAGTCCCCCTCCCCCGCTAACCGTTCAGCGCCCTCGAGTGGGCCAAGTCCGTCCGGGCCATGACTGACACCCTCGGGCTGGCCTCGATCGCGACACTGTACCAGGCCGGCAACGGCATCTACCACCTCTTCGACAAGGTGCTAGTGCTCGACGGCGGCAAGCAGATCTACTACGGCCCGACAAAAGACGCCCGGCCGTTCATGGAGGCTCTCGGCTTTGTCTGTCAGGAGGGCGCCAACGTGGCCGACTTCCTGACAGGCGTGACGGTCCCCACGGAGCGCAGGATCAAACCGGGGCGTGAGGCGACCTTCCCCCGCAACGCAGACGCGCTCAAGGCTCAATACGAGGCCTCGGCCATCTTCCCTCAGATGCAGGCCGAGTACAGCTACCCGACGAGCGACGGTGCCAAGGAGAACACGCAAGCTTTTCAGCAGAGCGTGGCCGCTGAGAAGCATAGCCTCCCCAAAGACAGCGCCTTGACAGTCAGCTTTCCCATGCAGGTGATGGCCTGCGTGAAGCGGCAATACCAGATCGTCTGGGGCGACAAGGTGACCTTCATCCTCAAGCAGGCCTTCACCATGATGCAGGCTGTCATCATGGGCTCTCTATTCTACAACGCCCCCGGGAATTCGGGCGGCGTCTTTCTCAAAGGCGGTGCCCTCTTCTTCTCCCTCCTCTACAACTCGCTACTTTCCATGAGTGAGGTGACGTCGTCTTTTAATGGCCGGCCGATTCTAGTCAAGCACAAGCTGTTTGGCTTCTACCACCCCGCGGCCTTCTGCATCGCTCAGATCGCCGCCGACATCCCGCTCATCCTGCTCCAGGTCTCGGGCTTCAGCGTCATTTTGTATTTCATGGTCGGCTTCACCGCGACCGCGACGGCCTTCTTCACGTACTGGCTCGTCCTGGTGGTGGCAACCATGGTGAGCACTAGCCCCTTGCAGAGCTGGGCGGTCTTCCGCTAACAGTGTCGCCAGTGCATGACCGCTCTCTTCCGCGCCATCGGCGCCTCCTTCTCCAAGTTCAACGGCGCTGCCAAGATCTCCGGGCTCACCATCACTTCGGCCATGATGTACACGGGCTACATGATCCACAAGACCCAAATGCACCCCTGGTTCGTGTGGTTGTACTGGATCAACCCAATCGCCTACGCCTTCAACGCGCTGCTCTCCAACGAGTACCACGGCAAGACGATCGACTGCGTCGGCAATAGCCTGGTGCCCAACGGCCCCGGCTACGACGACCCGGCCCACCAGTCCTGCGCCGGCGTCGCCGGGGCGAAGCAGGGCCAGACCTGGTACACTGGAGACGACTACCTGGAGGCGCTGACCTACAGCTACGGCCACATCTGGAGGAACGTGGGTATTGTCCTGGCCTGGTGGGCTCTCTACGTCACCATCACCGTCGTTTCGACCATGCGCTGGCGCGCGGCGTCCGAGGCCGGCTCCACGTTGCTGATCCCCCGCGAGCGCGCCAGGCTCGTCCCCGCGGAGCTGCGGGACGAAGAGGCCGCGACTGGCGAGAAGTTGCCGTCCTCGGCCGTCGGCGACCACGACGCGGCTGAGAAGGTCCTCATCAAAAACACGTCGCTCTTCACGTGGAAGAACCTGTCGTACACGGTCAAGACGCACGAAGGTGACCGGCTCCTTCTCGACAACGTGCAAGGCTGGGTCAAGCCGGGCATGTTAGGCGCACTAATGGGCTCGTCAGGGGCCGGCAAGACGACGCTGCTTGACGTGCTAGCCCAGCGCAAGACCGAGGGCACGATCCGCGGCTCCATCCAGGTCGACGGCCGCCCGCTACCCATCTCCTTCCAGCGCTCGGCTGGCTATTGCGAGCAGCTTGACGTACACGAGCCGTTCGCCACGGTACGCGAGGCCCTCGAGTTCTCGGCCCTCCTCCGCCAGCGCCGGGATGTCCCGCGCGAGGAGAAGCTCCGATACGTGGATACCATCATCGACCTTCTTGAGCTGAATGACCTCGCCGACACGCTGATCGGGCAGCCTGGCGCCGGCCTAACCATCGAGCAGCGGAAGCGTGTGACCATCGGCGTTGAGCTGGTCGCAAAGCCGAGCATCCTCATCTTCCTCGACGAGCCTACCTCGGGTCTCGACGGGCAGTCGGCGTATAATACGGTGCGTTTCCTACGCAAGCTTGCCGACGTCGGCCAGGCCGTGCTCGTCACAATCCATCAGCCGTCGGCCCAAGTCTTCTCCGTCTTTGACACGCTCCTGCTTCTGGCTGGCGGCGGCAAGACGGTCTACTTTGGCGATATCGGCGAGAGCGGCCGGACCGTTCGCAACTACTTCGATCGCTACGGCGCCCCGTGCCCCGAGGAGACCAACCTCGCCGAGCACATGATCGACGTCGTGTCTGGGTCTCTTTCGCAGCGCAAAGACTGGAGCGAGGTGTGGCTCGCCTCCCCCGAACATGCAGCCGTGACCGCGGAGCTCGACCACATCACGGCGGAGGCGGCCTCGCTCCCGCCCAAGACGACCGATGATGGCTTCGAGTTTGGTACGCCGTTGTGGACGCAGATCAAGCTGGTGACGCAGCGGACGAGCCTGTCGCTGTACCGCAACACCGACTACATCAACAACAAAGTCGCGCTGCACACCTTTGGCGCGCTCTTCAACGGCTTCACCTTCTGGCAGATCGGCGAGTCGGTCACGGACCTGCAGATGCGCCTCTTTACCGCCTTCAACCTCATCTTCGTGGCGCCCGGCGTCATCAACCAGCTGCAGCCGCTCTTTATCCAACGTCGCAACATATTCGAGACGCGTGAGAAAAAGTCCAAGATGTACTCGTGGGTGGCTTTCGTGACCGGGGTAGTCGTGTCCGAGGTGCCGTATCTCTGCGTCTGCGCGGTCCTCTACTTCTTCTGCTGGTACTACACCGTCGGCTTCCCCCACCACGTGAGCAGGGCCGGCTCCATCTTCTTCGTCGTGCTCATGTTTGAGTTCATCTACACGGGCATCGGCCAGTTCGAGTCGGCCTGCGCACCCAACGAGCTCTTTGCCGCACTCATCAACCCCATCGTCATCGGTACCCTGATGTCCTTTTGTGGCGTGCTGGTGCCGTACGAACAGATCCAGGCCTTCTGGCGGTATTGGCTCTACTGGCTCGACCCCTTCAACTACCTCATGGGCGGCATCCTGGTCTTCGCCATCTGGGACACCAATGTGACCTGCACGTCGAGCGAGCTCGCCCTCTTCAACCCTGTCAACGGCACTTGCGGCGAGTACCTCGCTAGCTACCTGCAGGAGATGGGCCAGGGTGCCATCCTGTTGAACCCTGATGCCACGACTCAGTGCGAAGTGTGCCCGTACAGCAGCGGCAGCGTGTACCTGAAGAACATAAACCTGCACGAGTACTACTACGGCTGGCGGGACGCGGGCATCGTCGTTATTTACGCGATCAGCTCGTACGCCCTGGTGTATCTCTTAATGAAGCTGAGGACGGGGGCCTCCAAGAAGGCCGTGTTGGAGTGATGTATTTTCTTACTGTGTTCCGCTCCCCACTACTTTTATTCATTTTCTTCATCTCCACTCCTCAAAGTGATAGCAATGGGAGGTGCATAGCGCGGCGTCTCTGGGTCTTGGGAATTATGTACAAGTAGAATAGACGAGCACACTGGGTAATGGAAGGCATCGGAAATGATGAGGGAGGTGTGACTACTATTCCCGCCGAGGATTGTGTAATGATACCAGTACAACCCTATGAATGGTGTGTGCGGTTCGGTTTCGGTCCAGGAGGTGTTTGAAGCGAGAAAAGGGCACAGCAAAGGATTTTTGCATTTCACGCCCCACTGCGGAAGGGCATGTCCGATCAAAGGGGTACCTCGCTTACGACGCAAAGATGGGCATTGCAACTGTTACTCAGCAGGCGAGCAGGACGAGACGCCGTTCGAACTCCACTCGCCGCCATAGTAGTCGATATGTTCGGGTCCTGATTTCAACTTCCATTAATATGGAAATTTATTTCCCAACAGAGAGTTACATCGGACGCGCCGTCGTAATTTCCGCTATACTCCCCGAGTGAGGAAACCAAAGAACACGAGAAAACATGTGGGCAGGGAATGTAAATGTCAGCCCATCGACATTACGAATTGCAGTCAGGGTAACAGTCCAGACGGGTGACTTCAGAGTGCCGTCCACATTGCGATGGGTCAGGTTGAGATGCCTTCAAGGCCGTCACGAAATACCGGGCTAGACTCCCATATTCCGGGACATGGTTCGAAATAGGCTGGCAGGCCAAGGCAGGCTCGGCACAACCAAAGGCTATGTGGCATTCGAGACTATTATATTACGTATCCGGACTATTGACAAAGAAGACAACCCTCGCGAGACCACCCCAGCGCTCCGAACCCATCCACTCCATAATTAGGCATCGGCGAGGATGGCGTCGCTGCCCTTCTGGCCAACCATAAAGGTGGGGAGGACGGGGAAACCGCCGGGGGCAACGGGGAAGACGCTGGCATCGACGACGCGCAGACCCTTGACGCCAAAGACCCTGAACTTGCTGTCGACGACGGCCATCTTCTCGCCCTTCTTGCCGATCTGGCAGGTGCCGACGGGATGGTGGCCAAAGGTCTGCTCGTACACAAACTTCCTGTCCTCCTCGGGGTCCTTGCAGTAGCCGTCGGCGGTGAGGCCGGCGTTGCAAGGGGGCTCGGTGGGCGTGACAGGACCGTACGGGGCGGGGAGCGAGAGGAAGTTGCGGCGGACCCAGGCGACGGCATCAATCATGGCGCCCAGGTCGACGTCGCCCGCGCGGGGAGACTCGTACTGTGCGATGTTGATGTCGGGGATGACGGTGGGGTCGGTGGACTTGATACGGACATAGCCCGCATTGTTCTGGACGTTCATGCGGGCCAGGCTGCGCCACAGGGTGTCGGGGCTGTCCATGGGAAGCATGTTGCTGGCCGGGGGAGAAAAACCGCGGAAGACGCCAGGGGGGCTAATGGTCGCATTAGTACAATGTGATCTATTTTGATACTGCCGGCTTTACTTACGCAAAGGTGATGACGTCGCGGTTCCCGTCGGGGCTGTGCTTCGTCTTGATGAAGGAGCACTCGCTGTTGCCAGACGGCGCGGCATACGGACCGGCGTTTTTCTCAAACTGGGCGAGACACGGGTCGCCCGGCGCGCCAAAGGTGCAAAGGGCCCATGACGGATCGCGCGGGGCGGCGGTGATGTTGACGGGGCTGAGGCCGGCGACGGGGAGCTCTTGGTTGTCGCGGAGGTTCTCGCCGACGCCGGGGAGATCCACGCGGACGGGGATACCCAGAGAGCGGAGGAGCTTCGCGTTGCCGATACCGCTGAGCTGGAGAAGCTGGGGCGAGTTGAACACACCGCCGCTGATGATGACCTCCTTACGAGCATAAGCGCGCATCCGCTTTCCCTTGGGAGCGGTGGCCTTGTTGTACTGCCACGTGGCGCCGTACACGCCAGCGCCCTGGAGATAGCTGACTCCCTTGGCCTTGGGCGTGCACCCGGGCTTGCCCTTGTGGAACAAGATTTTGGTGGCCAGGGACTCGGTCTCGAGCGTCAACTTGGATGTCTTGGCCATGGTGCTCTTGATGAGATTCCGGGGAGTCCAGCGACGGCCGACGTTGTCGTAATGGTTCGGGAGACCAAAAGGCTCTGTCGCCTTGTCCCTGGACGCGCCCAGGAAGTTGGCATCACGCTCAATGTAGTCGAGCGCGGCCGCTTGGTCCACGGGGTGACCGACGAGGTCTTCTGCCAGGTGAGACAACAGGGCGAGACGGCCAGGCTCTTGCAAGTAGTAGTTGGAATCGCCCTGGCCCATCTGCACAAAACCGTCAAAACCGTGGCCGGCCCTGGACTCATTCGACCTGAGGTACAAGTTCTGCTCGATCTTGACGAACACTTTCCTCATCTCCTCAGCCCTGTGCCAGTTAGTTGCCGTTACTTGGACAAAGAAAACACCGTGTGAACTTACGACCAAGACTTGTCGCCGGCCAACTTGGCGATCTTGTTCCAGTCGGCGTCGTTGGGAAGAACCGAGGCCATGGCGTTCACCATGGCACTTCCGCCAAGAGTCGCGCCACGCGGGTACCTGGGTCCAGTCAGTAAGCGTGCAACACACCAATTCGCCTTCACAGCACGTACCAAACACCATTGAGCTCTGCACCAGCTGGGGCATCGGCCTTGGGGCCAACCCAGTAAGTGCCGTCGGGCAACGTCCACGTGAGCAGGCGGTACCGGGCTTCGACCTCGGCATCGGCGTGGTGCTTCACGAAGAAGGACCACTGATAGTTGGGATTTTGGGGGTAAGAGAGGGCATTGACAGAGGTGGCAACATCGTCGCTAGCGTCAGTACCCGCCTCAAGCAACAGGACGCTGTGTCCGGCCAAGGCGAGATTGCTAGCCACGAGACCGCCGCCCGGACCGCTGCCGACGACGATGTAGTCGTACGTTGGCACCGGCTGGCATTGTTTGCCCGAAGCAGAAACAGAAGCGAAACCAGAAAAGAGCGTGACGGCCAAAGCGGCCCAAAAGGAGCGACCACGGTGAGAAGACGACGACATCTTGGCAACCTCGTTACCCGCCGATGTCGAGAGGATCGCCAGTTGTTGGACAGAACAAAGAAAAAAAGGATGGGAGGCGTCGATCCGAGAACCGAACAAGCGAGTTTTGCGGGAATTTGACTGGTACGAGCAGCGCCGGATTCTGCTGCATGCCGTTCACCCGTCCATGGTTGTCGACAAGAGGATGCGAATCCAGGCACCACTATTTGGGGCTAAAATCCAACGCCGGTGGGATATTTACCCCAGAATGTCACCATGAACCAACAGGTTGTGCGATATCTGCCTCGATCAGGCGATGGGCCCAGACGGAATGCAACACCACCAAGCCGGGTAGTTGGATCCAATCTCCGGGGAGCTCGCTCAGCATGAGAAAACCCGCCAACTAGTCCATTATGAGTCTCTTCGATAAATGGCCAGCCAACGCGCCTTGCTCGAGGTAACCCTGCGCAGGAGTGAAGAGAAAACCTGGTAACAAACTCACCGGTCAGAACAGGGTCCAAGCCAATTTCTCCGCCACCGTCCCTGGGACCGTTCCATCGGGAGCCGTGCATGGGGGAATATCGGGTGGTCAATCCCGCTTTCGTCGGCCAGGCCCTGAGCACCTGCATGATGGAGCGAGAAACCCCCTTGCCCTGCAGGAGATAAAGTCTGGGCATGTGGAATTTTTGGGCCCAGGGGAAGAACCCATTGCCCGTGCGCAGCTTCAACCCGGAAATTCCGTGTACCCTGTGAAACAGTGTCTTGGTTCGGTTGCCAAAGACAGTCTAGTTGCTGCATAGAAGGGTGCGCACGAGCGAAGCGAACCTGTAGCGAACACCCTGCATCCATCCTTTGGAAAAAAAAACCCGACAAAAAGTGCGATCCTCCCCTTGGCGCATTGTATTGGATCGCTGCCGGGATGGATATAGATATCCGCAAGACCCTGTGCCCATCCCATCGGGGATCCAGCGATCTGCTCGATCTGCTCCGGGTCCGCACGTTGCGCAACCATTGGCAATGGCCTATCTCTCCTCCGCCGTCTCACAAGGGTTGCTGCTACTAGCACGACAAGCGGACGGGGCCGCCCCGCCCCCCGATCTCCCGCCGCCCTCGCTCGACTTCTCCAGCTACCCAACCACGGGCTTGCAGCAGTTTGGCTTCTTTATTCTTTTCTTCTTCCCCGCCGTCTCGGTGCTGCTAGTGGGGCTCCGCCTCTACGACCGCGCCACGACCAGGCTTTTTGGAATTGACGATGCCTTTATCGTTTTGGCGACCGTATGTTGCTGCATGGCCGGCTGTTTTGTAGCGAGCTAACCGGAATGCAGGTTCTGGCGGCCGTCGAGGCCTTCTTCTCGTTTGCCATGATGAAGATCCAGTACCTGGGCGTCCACGTATACCAGCTCCCGACGCAGCCTACCGATCCCACGATCAGTGGCATCATAAACTACATTGTAGTGATGCTCTACAACCCCGAGCTGGCCCTGGTCAAGTCGTCGGTCCTGTTCTTTTTGCTCAGGCTTGGCGGACACCAGCCGCTCCTCCGCCGGACGATCCACGTCCTGAACTGGTCCAACATCGGCCTCATGATCGCCGTCCTGTTTGCTTCCATCTTCACTTGCGTGCCGGTCCACAAGTATTGGAACCCAGCGGTGCCGGGCACCTGTAACAACATGATGCTGCAATATCTCATCACGTCCGGGCTGACCGTCCTCACCGACATTCTCGTGCTCGCGATCCCTGTCAAGATTGTGGTGGGGCTTCAGCTGCCGAGGAAGCTCAAGGCGATTCTCATTTGCCTCCTGTGCTCGGGTATTGTGTAAGTCATGTTGGGTGCACTCTCGTTCCTCTCCATCGACGGCTGACCAGATACGGCGACCAGTGTAACCATCTTCAGCATCCTCCGCATGCACTCCCTCTACCAGCTGTACTACCCGCCCCCGGACCCTGGCCCGGACCCGACCTACAACATTGCTTTTGTCTACTCCACCGTGGAATGCAACCTGGCCATTATTACGGCGTCGATCCCGCCCCTGCACGGGCTAATGAGGAAGTGGTTCCCCCGCTTCTTTGAAATGACCTCGTCCCATAGCCACGCGTACCGGAACGGGTACAACAACGGTTACAACAACAATACCGGAGGGACCGCGGGCCTGCAGACAATCGGGGGATCGGGCGTGGCTCTGAAAGATCTCAGAAGTCCCACGCGGTCCCAGCGGGCTCGTCTCGGTAGTCTGTCTAATAGCGAAGAGGAGATATTGGGTATCAAAAAACAGTAGACGACATGACGAATGAACCTAATGCACCCAATCACTGTCAACTACCTTGCCACTGCTCCCGTAGTATGAGAATGTCTGAAAGACCACACACTGGCCCTTATCAATTTAATGCGGCGGGTATTGACACCAGGCCGTGAATGCATTTAGCCACATTGTCGAGAGACCGGTTGAATTATGCATCTGCAGGATTGGGGCCGGCACGGGCATACACGGCTTCAAAGTCACCGTCGGCTCTTCGATTTTCGAACAGGCATGACTCACGTTGGAGGTAGCAAGTCCCATTCACAAAACAAGCATGCCTAGGAACAATATCTATTGAGAAAGAATCTTTTCGGTACAGCGAACTCAACCACAACAAAGGACCATGGAAAGCAGTCTAGTCTAGAAAACAGACAATCTAGACAAAAGCCGATGTAACAAAATAGAAAATTGTTCAATCGCCTACAGCCCACGCTCCCGCAGCACCCGGCGAAGGGTCTCGGCAAAGTTGGCGACGTACTCGGGGTTCAGCATGGTGTAGTGAGCGCCCTGGACGTCGTGGAAGCGGACCTCGGTGCGCACAAAGTCCTTCCAGGCGGACAGGCGCGTCTCGATCCAGTCCTTGCGGTCCTTGGCGACGTGGCTGAGGGGGTCGGCAACGAAAATGTCCATGGAGTTGACGTTGCCAGAGGGCTCGTAGTCGACGGCCAGGCCCTGCATGTTGCTGGCCAGGCCGACCCACAACAGGTAGTACTCCTCGCTGAGGCCGAGCTCGTCCCAACGGGCGGCATCGGAGTGCTGGCGCAGGTAGCGGATGGCGTCCAGGCGGCGGCCCTGCTTGTTGAACTCGCAGAGCTGCGTCTTGTGCGTGTAGGCCGTCGCCTCGTCCATGAGGCCGACAAAGTAGAACAGGTGGATGACGCACTCGTCCCACAGCAGCTCGCGCATGCGGAACTTGATGTGCGGCGGCAGGTTCCAGCTGCCGCAGTAGGCCACCTCGTCGCCCTCGGCCTCGAGCAGCTTTCCGATCTCGAAGGCGACCATGCCGCCGAAGGAGTAGCCGGCGATGGCGTACGGGCCTTGGGGCTGGCGCTTCTTGATGGAGTCGCGGTATGTGTGGAACACCTCGTCGAGCGTCTTGAAGGGGGTCTCGCCCTCGGCCGCGTTGAAGCCCTTTGCGCGGAAGGCGTAGACGGGGCGGTCGCGGATGCGGTGGGCCAGGTTGACAAAGACGAGGACCTCACCGACGCCCGGGTGGACGAGCCAGAGCGGTGTCTTGGTGCCGTTGGGCTGCAGCGTGACCACGGGGTCGTACTCGTGCGGCTTCTTGTCCGTCTCGACGAGGGCGCCCGTCAACTTGGCGATGCGCACCGACAAGCCCCGGATGGTGGGGTTGTTGAGAAGGTCGGTGAGCTTGATGGGGTGGGCGGCCAGAAGAGGCAGCTTGTTCATGCGGTGCATGATGGCGACGAGGTCCATCGAGGTGGCGCCCGTGGCGAGCACCGAGTCGTTGACACCAAAGTCGTCCTCGGCGCTGAGCTCGAGCTGCTGGCGCACGATGTCGAGGATGGCCGTCTCGGCATCGTTCTCGGGCTCGCTGCGGGTGGCCAGGCGGTACCTCTTGACGGCGGCGTCGTTGGCCTCCTGCTGGGCCTTGAAGGCGCCGCTCTCGAGTCCAGCCCTGAGTTTGGCGCGCGACAGCTTGCCGAGCGTGGACTTGGGCATGTCCTGGGCGCGGAGAGGCACAACGCGAGGGCGGGAGCGGGTGTGCAAGCTCACGACGCGGGCGATGTTGCGCTGCGTCTCGAAGCGGGCGGCATCGTCCGACAAGTCGTAGGACGGCAGGTAGAGCACCGCGACAGCCTCCGTGTCCATGCCGGCATCGCGCGTGCCGAAGCAGCAGAAATAGCTGGGAGTTGCGCCCGGGATCTCGGCCTGCTCGAGCGAGGCGTCCAGCTCGTGCGGCAGGTACTTGACGCCGTTGATGTTGATCATCTCCTTGGTGCGGCCGTCGAGGTGCAGGCACCGGCTGGCGTCGAGGTAGGCCAGATCGCCGGTGCGGAACCAGCCGTCAGCCGTGAAGGCATCGGTAGTGGCCGTGGTGTTGTTGTAGTAGCCCTTGAAGATGATGTCGCCCTTGAGCTCGAGGCTGCCGCGCTCACCGGTGGCCGCGTCCCCGGCGCCGTCGAGGCGGCTGATGCGCATCTGCACGCCCGGCATACACTGGCCGAGCGAGGCGAACTCGCTCTTGTTGGCTTGGTCGCGGCTGGGGCACTCGGTGTTGAAGATGCAGCCGGCGCACGTCTCGGTCATGCCGAAGGACGGCTTGAAGACGTCGGCGGGGGCACCATAGCGGGCCAGCAGCGGCTGGAGGGCGGCACAAACCTCGATGACGTTGGCCTCGCCGCCAGTGTCGAGGAAGAGGGTCTGCAGGTTGAGGTCGGCATCGAGGGTATCGGTCTTGCCAGCCTCGAGCTGCCTGCGCAGCTTGGCGAGAAGGAAGTTGGGGGCAAAGGTGCGCGACACGCGGTGGCGGCTGATGAGGTTGAGGAGCTGGGCCGGGTCAACCAGCACGTTGGCGGCCGGGACCTGGATCTGGGACACGCCGGACGCGATCGCAAACAGATGGCAGTGCACGAGGTTGGCGACGTGGTCCATGTTCACCCACGACATGAAGGGGCTGTCGGGGAACGTCAGGTTGGCGGCTTCGGTCTTGCCACGGAAGGCGGCAAACAGCTGCTCGTGGCTCAGGGGGACGGCCTTGGCGTTGCCGCTGCTCCCGGACGTGAGCATGAGTGCCACGACGTCGGCGGCCGAGGGCTTGAAGGCCCGGCGCGTAGAGGTGGCCGCCGGCTCCTTGTCAAAGTCCTCGACGGCGAGCGTGTCGATGCGCTTCTCCGAGGCATGCTCCTCAAACGGCTCGAGGAGGGCGCGCCGAGTGAGGCAGAGCGGGCCGTTGAATGTCTTGTACAAATGGTTGAGGTGCTTTTGCCGGTCGGCCTCGTTCTGGCTGAACATGGCCGGGCTGGTGACGGCGGGGATGCCGCCCGCCAGCAGGACGGACCAGTACCAAACGATGCTCTCGAGCGCATCGTCGAAGTGGACCAGCACAACGGAGCCCGTCTTCGTAGCCGAGAGCTTTTGGAGCTTGCCCGCATTGGCCTCGGCCGTGTCTAGCAGCTCGCGGTACGAGACGGTGCGGGCCACGGGCGCCTCGCCGGCGCCGGCGGGCGAGTACGAGATGATTCCCTCGGTGGTGTGGGCAGCAGTGTGCTTGAGAGCATCGATGATGTTGTCGAAGGGGTAGTCGACCCCTGAAACCGCGAGGGAGCCCATGATTAAGACTTTGTGTTGAGAAGTAGTTAAGAGCAGTCAAGGCAGTTCACTCGAGGCCCTGGGGTACGGATTCTACATTTGTCGGTCGGATAGTGGACGGATCCCCAGTCTTTTAACCACCGACGAGTCGACGGCGACGCTCTTGGTGAACACTTTGCTCTCCGTCCCCCCCAGAGGTTTACCTCTCAGCCACGCGAACGTATAAGGTCTGCTCGCCGATATCGACGCCTCGATTCTCAACACCCGTAAGGTTGCTTGCTGCAGGGTAGCATTCAGAAAAAAGACGCAGGCCCCCAGGCTCCAGCTGACTGCAGGTCCAAGAGCATGGCCCTTTGGGCATCGTACCGTGTGTAACCCTTCAGCCTCAGATATTCTACTTGGCGAGCATGTTGGGAGGAGTCAGCCCGCAGATTGTACCCAGATTCTAGGACTCAACAGCGGCCGGGAAAACGTCCGAGCCGTCTGACACGACTAAATTGCATCTCCCCCTTACGACTTCGGCAGATTTAGAGATGGTTGGGTCAGCGGTGGTTAGTATGCCTGTGGGCTGGCCAACCCCTGTACGTCTGGTTTCTGCGGCGCCGAATCAGGTCAGCCATGCGGTAGGGGGGACAGCGCAGCAGTCTCCGGTGGCTTGGAGCGTAGAAGCACGATTCGAATTAGAGCTCCAGACCGGGGGCTGCAGACTCGATCCTCACTCCATGATCGACGTTGCAATTGCCAAGCTCTGACGAGCACCGTCCGCGCCTTGGCATGCGGAGGGCCACCGAGTTCTTGCCGCCTCAAAGCAGTAAAGACAGACGAGAGGTCTGGTGATACGGGGTACGATTCCGCCGTCGGCGGGAACGCCGCGTTGCTCTTGGGAGCATTCGCCAACCAAGAACAGTCTGATGCGGCTGGCGGTACTAGTTGCAGGCTGCGAAGAGCACTAGTGTAAGATCTCGGAGTTGAAAAACCGATGCTGGTTTGGTCATTGGCTGGTCGTGGTCGGAATGCCGTAGCAAGCGGCTCAGAGGCACAGCCCTCAACTGCTCACCGCGCCGAGAGGAGCAAAAGGATTCCATGGGAGGATTCCAAGGGAGGATTCCTCCGAACAACGCCAGGGCAATTAAGCTTTCCGATCAGCCTCAACTTGACAGAATGTGAGGGGCACCGCTTGGGAGGCCAACCATAAGCGAAGACGACACTGCCGCCCTAAACGGCCCGGATCCCATGTCGGTGAACGCCCCCTCGCACATCGGGGCAATAAGGTAGGTGGCGCTAAGATCACGCCATGCGGCGGGAGGTTATCTGACGATCTTGCCCGGGGGACCTCTTTGGGGGGTAGCAACGCCATAACGTGGTTGTTTCCAGAAGCCCACCCACGCCCCCGCCACGCAGATCATCCCAAGGATGTGACGGGAGGTGGAGCATCCCCACGAGCGATGACACTGGGGGGTTCCACGAGCCCCCAGCAGTTCGGATAGGAGGAAGGTGGTACTGGTTGACTGGAACGCATCTAGATTCTGAGTTCCGGTCTTTCTGGGGTGAGCAGTGCAGGCGAGCCACTCCGAGCAGACTAGTAGCCGACGAACACGAGCAATTTCGAGAGCAGCCTGTAAGCGACTTCGCTGCCTGTGCACGCGAGCGAGTCTCCATTCCCCGATGCTACCGTTGCTACGGAACTCCCAACCGGTAACTTGCAAATTTTCCATTGATTGGAAAATATCTGATGATTTGAAAACCCGTATATCCTAGAATTCTAGGGCTGGCTAAAAAAAAAAAAAAAAAAAAACCCAAGGAAGGCCTGAGAGGCTCAATCTGAACTTGAAGCATCTATCATACATTGTAACCCAATCTAAGCCGTAATTTTCATGGTCGTTGTGGGGACAGGGGCCTGGGCCTCGTGCTTTGCGCTGTTGGCAAACTCTTCCCTCCAGGCGTCATCAACCAGCTTGGCGATCCGCCGGCAAGCCTCGTCCATGTCGGAGTCGCTCACCAGGCTGTAGCTAGCACGCAGCTGGCACGCCTTGCGGGCATTGGGCAGGAACGCCATGCCGGGGATGGCTAGAATTTTGTTGTCGATGCCCTTCTTGCTGAGGATCTCGAAGCTGTCGGTCCCCGACGGGAGCAAGAGCTTCAGCCAGAAGAACATGCCCGCCGTCGGAACCTCCCAGGTGGCCCGCCCCTGAAGGTGGCGGTCGGCTGCTGCGGCAAAGGCATCCCGCTTCCGCTGGTAGAATTCGGCCGCCTTGGCGCAGTGCTCGACAAACCCGGTATAGCCCCAGTGACGGAAGAGGGTTAGAGCCAATACCTGCGTGGTAGACGATGGTTGGAGGCTACCGAGAGTTAGCTCTGCCGCTTTGGGGTTGACAAGTTGACCTACTTGACGTTCTCGGTGATCTTGACCACTTTCTGCACCGCCGGCGTCGGCCCCGTGAGGATGCCCAACCGCATACCCGAGCTGACAATCTTGCTCAGCGACTCAAACCGCATAACGCGGCCAGTCTCGCCGTTGACCTCTTGCTCCAAGGCGAGGTAGCTGCGCGCCCGCTTGGATTGGTCCTGCTCAAAGTTGAGGAAGAAGTACGCGTCGTCTTCAAAGATCATAAAGTTGAAGCGCTTGGCGAGAGCGAGGCTGTACGTGTCAGTAATATTCGGCAAGAAGCCGGGTGGCTGCGTACATTCTCGCCTTGTTGGTCTCAGAGCAAGAGCGCCCCGTGGGATTTGAGCCCGTTGGGACGGTGTAGAGAACCTTGGGAAGGGGGCGGTGTTCCGGCCACGTCGAAAGGACACGCTCAAGATCACAGGGGTCAACCCCTTCTGCCCGTGAGGAGATCTCGACCAGGTCATGGCCGTCTGCCCGGAGGAATGATGAGACTCCGCTGGGACATGTCAGTCAACTGAAATCAAACCATGCAGGCAGCAAACTCACGGGTAGGCGGGCCTACGAATCGTTAGCTATTGACGGCTTTCAAGTAAGGCAAGGGTGGACTTACGTCTCTAGCATCACCGAGTCGCCCGGGTCGGTAAAGACCTGGAAGGCCTTGTGGATAATCTCTTGGCTGCCATTGCCGACGCAGCAGGTCCAGCTATCGGAGTTGCTGATGCCATGTACGGCCTGCTGCAGTCCTTGGAACCACTACGCGTGTTAGCCCAAAAGGCTACATTCAATACCGCGACGAGACACGAACCTTGAGGAGCCCCGGGTGGCCCGCCGGGGGCCCGTACTGGAGCGCCTCGCTCAGCGCGGTTCCGTCCAAGACCAGCGTTTTTTCCTCAGGCCCGTTCACGGTAATGGAGATCTTGGAGAAGGGGAAGGTATCCGGGTTGGGTTTGCCTGCATGGTCAGTTGCTAGGCGGCGAGAGAGAGGAGATATAACATACCGGCAACCAGAGATATCATCCCGGGAATGGCTTCAAGAGGCAGGAGACTGCGGACTGCACGTCGTCAGCACCACGAATCGCGAACTACAGGCAACCGGGTCTCTCCACCGAGTCGACTTACTGGCTCCCGGCTCCCAACGCTGCACGCGTTGTGAGAAGAGCGGTGACGGGTCAAAGGCCAGCGCCTCGGGCTCGTATGCTACAGATCCCATTGTTGCGGAGAATGTCGTGTACCTGCGTCGTGGGTTGCGGAGTAATTGCGCGTCCCTGCGAGTCGAAAGTGCTAAAGTGGGGGAAACTACCAAGGTCGAAGACCATCTTGGAGACTTAAAGGAAACGAACCATGCCTCCTAGTACAGCAGCCGGTGGGTTCTAGCCTGGCAGCTCAGCTGCGCCTCACCTCGTCTCAGCCCATGTGGTCACCCCGTCTCGGGCGGGGACGGTCATCTCATGTCGACCTATGTGGGCGCACCCACCCTGCGGATTCACGACCCACGAAGATTTGAGTTCGATCTTGGCATCGACGGAGCTTGCTTGCTATGCAGCTTACTTTTGCGAGGTAGTTTTTAGCACGCACAGTCACACTCTTGGTGGAGGAGCAGCATCGGGGTTGCCATGTTCAGCGATGAATCCTTTCGTTGCCTGATCTGGCGTCCAGCACGCCGTCGGAATAAAGCCCGCCAAGGCGGTCCTGACATGGTGACTGCAGATGGCGTAAGAACTTAATCCTGCCTCGGTGTCGATTCGAGCTCGTCTCTCGCTTATCCGGGACTCTTAGTCGTGGAGACCCCGACTTGCGTAACCGGATGGTACATAGGTATTCACTCACGAACAGCTCCCATCTGGTTGGGTGCCAGCCGTGACAGGGCGTAGGGCTACCCGGGGGGGCCGTCCCCGTTTCGGGCCTCGTGTGAGTGGTGGGCACCTAGACCCGTGTGCCAAGTGTAAGAATCCGGACATCTCACCCGATAGCCTGCGGAACTATGGTACGGCGGGACCGGCGAGCTGCATCGAAATCGAATACGGGAAAAACGTCTCTTGCTGACCAGGGCTATTTTGGAAGGCTCGGGTGCCTCCCTGGTTGTGAAGCTCCCAACATGGTAGGCTGGAAATGACGCGGCGCCGCGCCGGTGGGTTCAGACGATTAAGGGGGATGGGTGGCGGGTCGTGTCACTGGCCCTTTTGCGTCTCACCACAGCATGCCTGCAGGCGATATGCTTCCATTTGGGTGATTCCATGGTCCGAGAAGACGGGAAAAGACCGAGAAGCAATTAACTCGCGAGGGGGTAATCTCGCCATGTGCCAAGTGGTGTGTCACACCCAGCGGCATTCCCAGCCGAAGACCTGAGGCCAAGCAATGCCAACGCGGGCTCTAACGGGGATCTTCACTGGCATTACACTTGGCGTTTATCTAGGCATTCTTGGCGCCGAGTCTAAATGTTTAACTTCCCTGTCCTGGCTGCCACCCCTGGACGCGTTGCAACGCTGCCACACACCCTCAGTGCCACACACCCTCAGAGCTGCACATGTGGCCGATCAGGATGGAAGGACGCATGGCGCCGGCGAGCAAACGCGCTAGGCTGCCAAGCAATATGACAGAGCGGGCGAGGCCTACGCACGTCGCTATGCACGGCAGCTCATAAAATTGTACAAACAACATACACTGGAGTACGTCAGCTGGCTTCCTCCTTCGGCACACGTCCACGCCATCGTTTCCTTCTTTGTCCTCAACTCGAGCCCATTAAACAGCTCGCTCGGCGGCACACCTACTGCAAGTCAACATGCGAGGTTTCTTAGCCCAGTCCATCTCGAGAGCAACACGGTCCGTGTCAGCATCATCAGCAGTTTCTGCCCATCGCCCATCTTCCAAAGCCGCATTTCACACCACCCAAGCACCCAACATGAAGGTTGCTCGTATCACATCGTGGGGCTCTGCGCCCGTCTACTCCGACGCCCCTGACCTGCCCGCACCTTCGCCGTCCCAGATCCAGGTCAAAGTCGTGGCTGTGGCCGTCCCGCCCGTGGTACGGGGGCGCGCCCTGGGGAAGCACTCGAGTGCCCGCGGCGTCGCTCTGCCTTACGACCCGAGCGTCGATGGCGTCGTGCGGGACGAAGCCACGGGCGACCTCTACTACGCTACCCCCATGTCCGCCTCTCTCTTCGCCGAGCGCGCCAACGTGGAACGCCACACCCTCGTCAAGCTCGCGCCTGACGCTGACCCCGTCGCCGTGGCCACCCTCGTCAACCCTGTCGGCAGCAGCTGGATGGCCTTCCGCGCCCGCGCCATTCCTGCCGGCTGTGAGGGCGCCACCGTTCTCATCCTAGGCGCCACCAGCACCAGCGGTCGGGCCGCCGTCGCCGTGGCGCGCTCCCTTGGTGCGGCCCGCATCATCGGCATGTCGCGCAAGGAGGAGACACTCGCTACTGTCGAGGGCCTTGACGAACGCATCGTCCTGCAGGACCCGTTCACCCTCCCGGCCAGTCTGGGCCCCATCCACATCGTCTTGGACTTCGTCGGCGGACGGGCGGCCGTGGGCATCCTGCAGGCTGCCGAGGCAGAGCCCGGCAAGGATGTGCAATACATTCACGTCGGCGACCTCGCTGGTGAAGAGTCCATCGGCCTGCCCTCCCGCTTGCTGAACGCCAAGCCCGTCCGCATCACCGGCTCTGGCATGGGTGCGTGGAGCAAGATGGACGTCAAGAAGGAGATCGGCGGCCTGCTGGGCGCCGTGGTCAAGATGCCCAGGCCTGACGATGTCAAGGTCGCCTCGCTGGCCGACGTGGAATCTGTTTGGGACACGGAGGATACCAAGAGCAAGCGCCTCGTGCTTGTTCCGTGAGGGAGAGGGCGAGCTTATTTTCTTTTACGGTTCCCGGATCATGTACCTACCATTTAGACTACCAGTAGCAGCTGGCTGAAATACCACCTCCTGTCCTTTGAATACCTGTAGCATTGAGGTGATTCCAAGTATCGATAGCGCCTTGAAGTTTTCACCCCAAGCTGCTCCTTGAGGATGGAGGTCTGAAGGATCTGAGCCCCGTCTCTGATTCCCAACTGCCAAGGGTAAGCCCCCTCCCGCGCCATCGGCCCGCAGTTTCGCATGCTGCTTCGACCGCTGATTCAGCGGAGCGACGGCCCAGTAGGATCAGAGCTCGCCCAGAGACCGCTGAATCAGCGGAGAGAAGAAGGTCATGCCCGCTGAATCAGCGGCCGATGCAACCCTGGCCTGCGTCAGGTTGCAGGTGCAGAGTCATGGGTCCCCTGCAAAATGGAATAAAGTTTCGGACGTTACATTCGATCGAGGCCGCCACGCCCGGGCGAGAGCCAGGTGCTGGCAAGGACGTGGATTCGCTCCGCTTACACTGGCATTCAGCAGCCTGGCTGTTGTTTTGCGGCTGAATGGCAGCGCCTGCTGGACGGCCTTGTCCCCAGCACCATCCGCCGGAGACCAGACTGGTTGCTTGGTCCGCTGACAGAGAGGACAATGGTCGTTCAAAGGTTGGAATTTCGAGCTGCCTCCAGGGATGAATCGTCTCGAGCCTCGGCGACAACATTTGGTAGGATGAATAGAGGTTCTGAGAGAAGGACGACGGGGGCCGAATCACGAGATAAATAGTAGCTCTGCAAGACGCGGACATCTATGTGCATCTATAGCACCATCATCCGTATCTTGCCAGAACTAGCCTCAAGTAATCCTTCACCATGGCGACCGTTGACACCATCGTTGCGCAGCCCCAGGCCGGCAAGACGCAGGTTGCGGAACAGAAGACAGCCCACGAATTCTGGTCTGACTACCTGTGCTCTATGGTCCAGCCGCTGCTCCAGGCGTCTGGCGCGTATACTCCTGAGCAGCAGGCCCAGCAGTTGCGGTTCCTCACGGACCATATCGCGCCGACCCTGGGGCCGCTCCCGTCCCAGGCTCGGGCCAAGTACACCATGACCTATTGCGACTCGCCCTTCGAGCCCAGCCTCAACCTGACGTCGACTAGCAAATGCAAGGTCCGTTACAGCCTCGAGGTTGTAAAACCGGGCGGTGGCGCCGACGGACCGGACCCCTTCGGCGAGAAGCGGGCTCGCGAGGTCCTCTTGGCCCTCGCAAAGGCCTCAGGTGCCGACACCAAATGGCTCACCAGCATCATGGACCTGTTTTACTTGACGCCCGAGGAGACGGAAGCCATGCGGCACAAGATCCCGACCTTCATGCCCAGCAGCCTCTGCGGGTTTGACCTGGACGGCGGCAAGGCCATGATGAAGGTCTACATCCTCACCATGCGCAAAGCCATCGCCTCAGGGAGCCTGTCGAGCAACCTGTACACGCTGGACGCCCTGCGCAAACTCGAGCCTTTTGGTGACAAGCTCGGGCCCGGCCTCGATGTCGTTGCGGAGTGAGTGCCCCGACCTCTCAGCAAAGCTTTCAGCTGACCAAGTAGCTACCTCTCCACCGTCAAGTACAATGCGACGCTCATCTTTGCGAGCCTCGACTGTCTTGACCCGACCGTGAACACTGGGGCCCGTGTCAAGGTGTACTTCCACACCAGCAGCAATGCCTTCGCCGTGGCTAGCGATGTCATGACACTTGGCGGGCGCCTGACCGACGAGGCCACGCTCAAGCGCGTTGAGATCCTGCGGACCCTTTGGCCCCTGCTCCGTAACGAGAAGCCCGGGCAGGGACCGGACCCCTCTGACGGGGACGCGTACGACGCCTGGGAGAAGCCTGAGCGGATCACCGGAACCCCTCTCTCCGGGCTCCAGTACAACGTCGAGATCAACCCCAGCAAGCCCGGCCTCGAGATGAAGTGCTACGTCCCGTTGTTCCAGCACAACGCGACGGCCCAGGAGTCCGAAGGTAACGTGGAAAAGATTCTGACCAAGCTGCAACACGAGTGGGGCAGCAACGGAAAGTACCCCGAGGCCGTCAAGGCTGCACAGTATGTGATGTCCCCACGGTGTTTTGGTGATGTGCGCTGACCATCCCATAGCGGCCAAAACCGGGTCTCGCCGACCTTTGTGTCCTTTTCCTACTCCAAGAGCAAAGGCCCTTACATGTCGTCATATCTCCCGGGCATCCTGGACGTGGGCGCGGAGATGAAGGCGGGTAACTGGAAGTATACTTAGATGGTAGTCTTGTGTTACGGTGTCGTGGTTCATGCATGCGGGTTGTACAACTTTCATAGTCAATGTCAGGGGTTGCAGGGTCACTTCGTGTGCGACGGGCGATCCTGCGGTGAATAGATTAGCTTGAACATATCCTCCTTTGGTTATGTGCCCGAGACATAGACAACCCTGTCTTATTGTATGTGTTTCACCACGTTCGTAGCCTGCGGTTCTTCCCCCCACACCAACCGGGGCAGATTCTGCCCTTGCTGTCCCACGGTTCCCGACTTGCCAGTTGCTTATAATGCCCCCTGCTCAGCCCTTATCAACGATCACTGCTCTCAGCGCGTCTCTCTTCTCCGAGTCGCCAAGACATTTTCCTGCAGCCCAACCGCAGGGGTGCGGGTAAGGCGAGTTTGTCATGGTCTTGTCAGCAGCACTAAGACCAGCTCGGGAGCCGCTCGTGAGGAAACCCTCCACACGATCGCAAAGTTCCAATTCGTTTATGCTCAGGTGCGGTACAGCTCATCGGCGGGGTAAAGCAAATTCCCTCCCGAGCCTCCACTCAACCACTGGGCAGACGGGGCCACGGGATACTTTTGTTGTCGCCTAGAGGATTTCTCCCTGACAGGGGCATCGATTCTCATGTGGCCTGGGCGGCCCCGGGGCTGAAGAGTCCTGCATCTGCCGCCCCCTTTAGCTTAGAAACATAAAGCTAACTGGCGCCAGCCCACGGGGCTCTTTCTCTCCTGGGAGGGAACTCGTTGTAGTCGACGGCACTCGCACCTCGGACTAACCACACGACACGTTGTCAAATTGCGGTACTCTAGGGACTAATAGGTGACACTAAGGGGGATTCGGTGGCATCCATTGCCCTTCATACAAGCAACAGCGCAGCACAAGATGGACGAGTCACTTCACTCCATCACCGCCACATCTGTCCCTTCCACTGCACCACCGCGGTCGGAATCATCGAAACGCCAACCAGCATCGCCGTTGCGATCCCTGCCGAGGCCCTGAAGCCGACTCGCTCGATCATGTGCGGGAACCAAAAAGGACCGATAAAACCCCACGTCTGCCTCACAAAGTTGATAAAGACGCCTACGCCGGCGGCGTCCTCCCGGTAGCAATCCACAGCGTACGTGGTGGCGACAGTCGTGACGATCTGGTTACCCGCCGCCGCGATGCCCGTACCTACGAGAGGCGTAACGTTCCAGGTGCTGCCGGCACGGTCGATCTGTACCAGGTACACGACGACGCCGCAGATGGCAAGCAGGTACCCGGGATAACTCAACCACAGCCGGAACTCGGGTTGTGGTACGAGGGCGCCTCTGTCGTCCGGACTCTCGCTGTCGCTTTCCCCGCCACCGGCCTGCTTGCGGCGCCGCCACATCCACCAGTCGCTCATGAAGCCCCCGATCTGCTCGCCGATGAGCGAGCCGACGATGATGCTAATGTTCTGCAGGCCGACCTGTTGCGGATCGAACCCGAACCTCTCGGGAAACAGCGAGCCCGTCTCGACGGACATCATGATGTTGCCCCAGAGGAACACCATGGCATAGCCGACGGTCGGGATGAGGACACAAGGGTGAGCAGCAAAGGTCAGGGGTTGGACGAAATCCCGCACCCCTAGGGGACTCGGATCGATGCGACCAAACGACAGCAGACTCTTGGACGAGGAGGGTCCGACGACAGAAGGGGTCGAGGATGGAGTTGGGTGGCGGCGGTATAAGGTCTCGCGGCCGAGGAGGAAATACAGTATGAATTGGACGGCGTTGGTCTAGAGCGGTCAGCAGGGACGGGTTTGGCGATATGACTTCGGGAACCCACAATCGCGAGAATCCAGTAGATCCACCGATATCCAACGCGGACGGCAGCGAACCCGAGGATGAACGGCGCCATCGGCACGCCCAGCGTCACCATCATGGTCCAGATGCCCATGTACCTACCCCTTTCTTTCTTGAAAAAGGTCTCGGTAACGACACCGCTCCCGATGGCCAGGGCGGGGGAGATAAAGAAAGCCGTGATGGCTCTGCATAGCCCCATGGTGCTGTATGAAGGGCTGACGGCGCACCCAATGTTTCCGACGAGGCTGCAGATGAGCGACAGCAAAAAGATGGGTCGCCGGCCATATCGCTGCGACAGCGGCCGCCAGAAGAGGGGGGCACCGCCGAGGACGGCAATCTGGAGCGACAGCATGTACGAGGCTTGGTGGATCGAGACATTGAGGTCGTCGGCGATTTCGGCAAACACGGACTGGACGGCGGCGGCCGTAAAGGTGCCCATCATGGCGTGGAAGGCGATCATGGCCAGGTTCAGCAGTTTCTGCAACCCAAGGTGAGACTTGAGGGTTACTTGGCTGGGGGCTGGGAATGCTTACCCTGCCCTTTGGCCAGTTGTACGGATCTCTGTCCGTCATGTCCGGTACGGGTTCGAGATCCAAGGTGCCATGGCGTCGCAGGAGGTACTTCCGATGCTCCTCGGGCAGGGCATGGGGCTTTTTCGGCTCCTGTATTTGTTAGCCGCCGTCATCTTGACTCGGGGCAGCAACCGCACGCTATGCTCGACAATCTGCGTGTCGCGTGCCTCCTTGCTCATCTTGTGGTGTTCTTAGGGGGCTCCCGGGGCTTTAGCATGTAACGGAGAGTAATTGGAAGGGACGGCCATCTGTATTAATCTACCCCAGAAGACGCCCCCGACCCATCTCTGCTCCCCAGATCCATCTCCCCCGCGTCCCGATTCCGGGGCCCTTGATATCCGAGAAGCGACCCGCCGTTGGAGACAAACGACGGAGCTCGAACTGTTTCAGGATGTAGCCATGCACAACCGTGAGCCAAGGGGGGCAAGCATTTGCCAAGTGTGGGCAAACCAGACGTGCCGTGGTGGGACCTGGTGGGCTTCCCAGGTCGTGGTGGAGATCATGATGGGGAAAACGTGGAATGGCCGTGGGTCTGGTGGCAATACGACGTGTAGGGGGTCCCGAAAAAGACGTCCCCGGATTGGACACAGCTTGTGATGAAGCAGCAGACAGTCAGAACGAACCGGGTGGTACGTTACCGACGTAGTGGACACCCACATGCCGACGAGGATGCCGCTCCATCCACCAAGCTGGGGGACAGGGGCATGGAGATATCGGCAACTGAATCGGCTTCAAAGATGCAAGTTTTTTACTTGGGGAACGCCCTAGGGCATAGCGGAGTATGAATAATAATTTTTACTTGGGGATATTAACCAATTACACTATAGGGAGTAACGCTCTTCCGGAGCCAATATTTCACATGGGCGCAAACGGCCTGATCCTCCCCGGGGAGTGCAGTGGGGGGCTCTGAACCAGCTTCGGTGTTCTGGTGATGGTGCGGCGAATCTCGGCATCGTCCTCCTCCTGCTCGTCCAAGTCCATGCTCGGCAACTTCACGGCGCGGTCCAGGGCCACAGGCAGGTCGCGGTGGCGGCCGCGGAGCATGACGAGCACCAGCACAAACTTGCTGCCAGCTTTCCAGCCGCCGCTGAAGCTGTACGACGCGTTTGGGAGGCCGATGGAGATGCCGTTGTTGGCGTAGGCCGACACAATTTCGAACAGGATGTTGAACAGGCTGTAGGCGGCCGGGTCCTCGAGCGTGTGTGAGGTCTCGATGATGGTGATGAGGAAGAAAGCGAGGGCGATCCACCACACATCGTGCGACAGCTGGCTGCGCACGTGGTGAGAGACGAGATCCTGCTTAGGCGGGAGCGAATCATCGACCGAGTCGACGCTGGCCGTGGTGCTGCTGGCCGAGGAGTGGGGGGTCGGCTGGCTGGGCTGGGGAAGGCTGGTCTTGTGCCGCCGAAGGGGCGCAGTGGCCACGCCGACGCCCTGGAACTCGGTCATGCGCCGCTGCAGCTGTCGGCCCAGCTTGGCTCCACCCTCGCGGCCGAGGTTTACGATCTTGTCGATCCCACCGCGGGAGGCTTGGGAAAGCCTTGAGAGGCGGGAAGCGTTCGAGGTGGCCGACATGGGCGTCAGGGGAGGCTGCGCCCCAGTGGTTGTCCCTGGGTTGACGAACAAACCGCCAGCCGCCGGCGCGTTGCTTTCCTTCTTTTCTTTGTCCTCGTCGTCGCTGTCCTCCGGGTCGTCCCCGGCGTAGATTCCGAGCGAGCGCTCCTCGTAGACGTTGGAGCCACGGACTGTGATCGACGTCGGGTACGCCGAAGCATACATCTTGACCAGCCACAGGACCTGGAGGCCAAAATACACGCTGGATGCCGATACAACAGCGAAACCAGCGGAAAGGAGGGCTGCGAGGTTACTTAGCGTGGGGTCAGAAGGATTCTCAGGGTCACTCACAGGTCGACTGGAAAAAACCATCCATGACGCGCGGGCCAGGGGGGATGCTCTCGATGGCTTCGTTGCCGATGTTGAGAAGGAAGAACATGATCCAGTCCACGGCCAGGAACCCGCCAATCGACAGCGTGAGCATCCACGTGGGACGCGAAGGGAACATGTTGATGTAGACGCGCCGCGGGTACTGCAGGATGAAGTCGAATGTCTCTTTCCACACGGCATAGTTTTGGTGCTTGGTGGAGAAGCGGAGCGTGCGAGACAAGACCCATATGATGAAGCGAAGGAAGATGGGCGACGCCTGATTACCGGCGAGGATGAGCAGAGCGCCGACGATCAACACAAAGTAGGAGCCCGACTGGAAGGCAGTCATACCCGCGTCTAGCAGCGACATTCCGGCGCTGCAGAAAGCCGAGACAGACAAGAAGATGCCCGTCCACCAGGCATTCTGCTCGTTCACGGCCGTGACCTCGGGCGCGTTGACTGCAAGCCAGGCGCCGAGAGCAATAGCACCGAGCAGCGGCCAGAGGACGTAATACATGGCCACCGTAACTACTAATACTTCGACGGCCCGGTACTCGACACCTCCGAGATATTCGCGCTCCTTGATGGTGAGATTGAAGAACTCGCCGTTCCTGCCCACGTTCTTCCTCTTCTCCTGCAAGAAGGTCCGGACCTCGGCGGTCCGGTCCTCGTCGGACGGGATCGTGACCTTTTTGGAGTTTCCACGGGGAGGGGGCTCTAGGAAAGCGACGCCTTTTGCACCAGGCGTCTTGGGCATGGTGACGTTGGTGTCCGGAGCAAGACCGGCCTCCACGTCCTGTTCCTGGGCTCCCGATTCCGACCCTTGAATTCGGCTGCCCAACCCCGGCAGCTTGTTGGCGGTCTCATCTTTGGACTCGGTCTTGGACAGTGACCTCAGCTTGGCCAGGGCAAGCAGATCCGAGAAACCCGAGTATAGCCAGATGGTGGAGCCCGCCTTTAGCTTCCTTGCCCGCTCCGCCTTGACGATGGCTCGGAACCGCTTCTCGAAAACATGCCGCCGGAATAGGACGGTCCATAGCGAGATGAGAATGGGTTGCCCGAGCATCATGGCGAGCGCCAAGAGGACCTGTTGGGCGATCGACAGCTGGCTTATGTTGATCGGGTTCAAGCCCGTTCCCGTGAGCGCCGACATGACGAAGAAGAGGCTGTCGAGGAAGCTGACCGGGAGGCTCGTGGACGACTGGGTGCCCCAGAAGATGAGGGCCAAGATAAGGCACGAGAAGATGAAGTAGGCATAATGGAGGGTGACGAAGTTGATAGGAGGGAGATAGGGCCGGATCTTGGCCACCCATTCGGCCACGGGGCTGTTAGAATACCACTCGCGGAAGCCGTCGAGCGGTTTCTTTATGACGGATAAGGGCATGGTGACAGAGACAAAACCGTTGTCCGGTCCTTATCGTACGACTGGTCGCGGAAGGGGTCGTAGATGCGGTTGCAGATGGGGCCGCAGATGACATCGGCGCGAGATATAATACCAAGACCGCGCCGCAGCCTCGCACTCCCTGTAGTGGAAAAGCGTCGCGCCAACACCAAGTATAGCATGACGGGGGCGAGGCCGGTCCGTGGAAACGAGTCCCAGGGATCCGGTCATGGGTCCAACGGCATTTCTGCGAGGAGCGTGAGCCGCCACGGAATTTTCAAGCACCAACCGCGGCAAAGCGCTAATCATCGTGCTTGTTTAGTGGGACTTTGCACGCTTATTTCTGTGCTGCGCCAAATCTGTTCGGGGTTTGTCCTGATCCTGCGGCGCAGGCTCACGACGTGAAACAACTCCGTCTCGGCGGCGCCGGATTTGGGACGTTTCCTCCCAACATGAAGCGGGTAACCAACTAGTAATCTCGTAAATGGAGGCTTAAGGATAAAGGGCTAGGCAGCAGCAGTTTTCGATTCTCTGCCAGGGGCTGTAGCGTGGTGGGCAGAATCGGTATATACATCCCATCTGCATAGATACATAAGTTCCAGTCTATAACTACACAAAGGTACCTAGGTAGGGGGTTAGGAATCAATGATCTCGACTTTATCCGGACTAGAGTACATAGCAAGCAAACAGCCACCCTAGCATGTGCCAACGACACCGCCCTTATTGCCTACCAAGACAACATAGCCAGTATACATATCCCAGAACCCCAAACCCGGTCGGTCTTTCCAATGATGAAAGCACCTAACCTGGAGATCACCTTCGGATAGACGTCGCTTGATAACACCAGAAACAGATTAGCGACGTCCTGGAACCGGACGGCCCAGAACGGCTGAGGATGCCACGACCATACTGAGCCGGGGGTAGGACTACCATTTTCTTCGAAGGGAACCTAGGGTGAACGGAAACGCCGATCCAACCGCAACGCATTGCGAGCGTTTTCAACCTTGGCTCTGAGCCACTCGACCTCCTCCCGAAGCTTCTTTTCGCTCTCAGAAGAGCGCCGACCACGTTCTTGCCCCTCTAGAAGCTCCTTCTTCAGCCTACCAATCTCGCTTTCCAACTCTGGGACGCGAGATGTCTGTAGGGTGGTGGCATTTTGAGCGATCTGTGCATTTAGAACGTTGGGCCGGGCTGGTGGGGTTTGCCTGAATTGGCCGCATGCCTTCGGCTAGGATGCCAA